GGTCTCTGAATTCTCAAATACCCTGTCCAAAGGATTCCGATAGAAATTAAGAATAAAATGGAAGACAATATGGAAAGAGGGAACAGGAGTCTCCATAGAAATGCCACGGGCTGTAACAGCAGTGAAAGCAGTAACCCTTCAGAAACTGGGTAAAAGAAAGAGGAACATTTCTTGCTAACCTCTACCCTCCATATTGCAAGTTGGGCAGAGGAATAAATATACTAAAATTAGGGCAACTGGAGTTATGCACTATTAGGTTCTTCTGGAGATCCAGAGCATTGGCTCTGCTTCTTTCTTTCTGTCTGGGTTGGGAATTACTTTTGTTTAGAAGGTACTTTTTTGGTTTGGAACAATAGAGGGGACAGGGTATTGTCCAGGAGAGAGAACAACTCTAGGACTTTAGAGCTGTCTTTAGGCTTACAAACGAGAGATGACAGAAATCTCAAAGTTCCTAATTAGTCTGTCTAGTCTAGTTCCATAGGATAGAAAATGAGGGAAAGATTCAAGGTAGATGCTCTTTCTAGAAACAGAGATTTTCACATTGTCTAGATTCCTGGGAATCTGAAGGAAATGAATGTGGTACCAGAAAGAAACAAGTTCCAATAACATGTCTTCAAGTTGAAGAAGAAAGCTTCTTGATTGTTTCTTGGGTCACCAGTGAGTTCCCCAAACCTTACAGAGGCTAAATATTAATTGTTCCTATATTTTCAGGCAGAATATAGACTTAACAGCCAGAAGATATATTGCTTGAAATAACACTTTGGAGGCGTTCCAGAGTCTACAGGGTTGGGGTCTGTACTAACACCCTGCAGTCAGTAGCTAAACAGAGTTGACACTCCATGAAATCCACTGTACAATGTGAACCAAAAACAGGGCACGGAGAAGCCAAGCTGTCTTCTTTGACCTGTGAAAACATGGAAATCCCCCTGTTTGCTCAAAGGGAGTCTGGCAACTATGGATTCTGAGAAATAGGCATATGGGAACCCAGTATGAGAAGGGAGCATAGTGAATCCAAGCTTTGCCCATTGAGAGGGAGGTCACAGAATTCCTGACTGCAATTCCCCTCCCTCATATTCCCACACTTATTCCAATACTTGAGATTGATGTTACGCTTTAAGAGGAATTTGAAGGTAAGAGCCACTTTTACTCACTACTGGTGAATGTGACATTGACACTGTAAGACTGTCCTTTGTGCAGTTGGCAGGGTTCGGTGGAGCACGGGTTCACATTCACTTCCTTTATAACTCCGACCCCAGAACCTGCAAAAGAAGAAAAATTTTTTGAAATGGGTGGGAAAACAAACCTCCTAGGCTGTCTCTTACCTAACGGGAAGGTGCTCTGCCTTCCCAATGGGGGCGAGTTCTTTCTCCGACCATCCATGGTCCCCGGGAAACTGTTCACATTTGACAGGTGAAAGGGAATTAAAGAAATTATTGAGTATACCTAGTCAGCTCCCCTGCTATACATCCTGGGAGGGCTATTCCAGGGGAAATCATCCCCACCCTTCCTTCCATCCTGACACAGGATTTTAAAGCAGCACACTTGGCATAAGCGATGGCTCAGGTTGCACCGCTACTGTTTCCGTTTGGAATCTTGAGACTGGCTGCTCCCTAACTGCCTTTCCCTACAATCTTTCAATCCTGTCCTGGTAGCTCTCCAAATCAGTGGTCTCTGAGCTTTGTATACTCCTCCCGATGAGAACAATCTCAAGCATGCATCTGTAGTACACTCTACTCTGGAACCTGTGTTCTTCAAAATAAGTGTCTTTGAGGCAGGGTGTGTGTCCTTTTTTTTCAGTCTAAACAAGGACAAAAATACCTCGACCAAAAAAGGTTAAGTACAAATCTGTAAGAATCTCCTTACTTCATCCAGGCCCCTGAAACCAGACAGCTGAATGGGAGAGAATGCAAGTAAACAACAGGGTAAGCCTAAGCTCCACCACTCATATACCACTGCTGACAGCTAGACTCTGGGATCCGACATCTGGCTTTGAAATCTCATTGGCTCCATTACTTACTATGGAACCTTAAGGCAAGATACTTAGCCTCTCTGGGGGCTAATAATGGTACCTACCTCATAGGGTAGGTGAGCTAATACACATATAGCTCTGAAATAAGTGCTTGGAACATAGTAATACTATATAGGTATTCACTATTACTATCATATTGGGATTTAGTCCATGAATTCAATCTAGAGTAGCTGCTCCTGGGTGGGTTAGCAAGTTTCCCTTTCATACAAAGGGTGAGCCTCTCACCTCAAATTTACTTTGTGGGCAGAAATTATGGATCTAGACAATAGAATGGACTCTGTCTCAAAAGTAGAATGCATGAAGACAGAAAGGAAAAGGCAGGTTGAGAGCACATTATCTGCCTGCTCTTGGGTGGAAGAGTTGCATCGTGTTGACTAACACTGCTTCAGCTAGGTCTGTAAATCGTACTTAGCAGTTCCCTATCACCAACTTGCTTCTCCATCATGGCAAAGTTCTCAAACAATAAATACAAGATTCTCTTCTTTAAGCACTCTCTTCCACTCTGTCCTATCGTCTATGGCCAGGAAAGAAAATATCTGGAATTTTAGTCAACAACTTATTGAAAATCAGTGCTTATGCTGAACTTCTAGTTTCAACTTTCAACTTCTAGTTTCTTTCAAGGCTGGGTCACATGATCTAGTAAGAACTGAGTAGAGGGCAGTACTTGTAGCTCCTTCATCCAGTTTTATTCTTGCTGACAAGATGTTCCTGGACTTCCAGTGTCAATAGAGCAAACTTCTCAGTCCTAACCTGCAAAAATTGCAAAACTAGTTCGCTTGGCCCCATTTCTCACTCGAGGAAATACCACTTCAGGGAAAGGGGGCATAGAGTGGGACTCAAAAAACCTTTTGATGTGGGCACTGAAGTTTTTACACTGTATTTCCCAATTCAAAAGTAAATTGAAAGTCTGTAACTGAAACTCTCCTTCCCTTAAGAGGTTTTTGCCATAGGTCTAACACCTGCTTTATTCACATGAGCAGAACAATGTCAGGATTTAGTTTCCTTAGTTGTTTTTCTTTTTTTAATTTTTTTGGCCGCGCCGCGGCTTGCAGGATCTTAGTTTCCTGACCAGGGATGAAACCCCTGCCCCCTGCAGTATAAGCGTGGAGCCCTAACCACTGGACCAACAGGCGAGTCCCCCCCACCTTTTTTTTAATGTTAATGTTACTGTTGAAACCCAGAGTGACTCACAAACACCCACTAGTTTCCTACTGCTTACTAGGAACCTGGTTCCTTACTGCTGTAAGAACTTGGGCAAGTACCTTAATGTGCCTGTTTCCTCATCTGTAAAATAGATTGTGAGAGTTGAGTGACAATAAAGTTAACAGTGTCTTCATCCAAATGTTGGCCACTAAGTTTAGTGGAGAGAAAGGCAGTAATTTGAGGTGATAATAGGATCTTTCAAATGCCAGTCTCCTAGTTCAGTGGAACAGCATTTGTTAAGTATAAATAGGCCAGCAATTTTTATTCCTTAATCACTCCTGTTTCCTAGCCCCCAACTTTGCTTTTGCCTCAACATGAATTTTGGAGATATGGTGGAAAGAGTATTTCTTCCCTCATTTACTTTCCCAACAAATATTTCTTAAGCAGTTACTATTACCTGGGCACTGGATATGAAGGAGCAAATTTATTCTGGTTGCCATTCTGCTGTGTGACTGGGTAAGTAACCTAACATCTCTGGAATTCAATGATTGACTATAGGATCTCCAAGTTTCCTTCCAGCTCATAAATTTTATAAAATCAGTTTCATGCCTCTTTCATTTATTATTACACCTCTGCACTTCAGAAAAGTTCTGCTCAAACAATTTGATAGACTTGACTGAAGGAGCTCACAATTTCTACCCCCTGTTATGTTTCTCAACAAAGATTCCAACCATAGCTGCATGAGAGGGTTATGCATCACAAGTTGTGACCAGCAACATGAGTTTTATAAATAGGAGAGGAAAACTGGTAAGAATCACAAAATTCCATAGCCCAAAGGACGCCCTAACGGAATAACTCATGAAAAGGAGAACTGACTTTCGACTTATCAGCAAAACGGAAGTTTAAAAAAGCAAAAGGAGTGGAGAGGCAGAGGACATCCAAGGCACAAGGCATAAATAAAAAGCAGTTTTGCGCCGCACCCCTTACGCCCAACGCTGCACATGGACCTTCGGTTGTTTGCCCTACAATCTTTAGGAAACTTCAGCAAAAGGCCCACCTCCAGGAATGTGCTGGGATCCCAAACACGCGTTCCAAGGAAGGAGAAAAGTAGTGAGTGGTCGGGTTTCATCCAGGCCAGCACCCTGTCCCCTACCCCAACCCACTCCAGCCCACTCCACGAGGGGTCCGAGGCTGAGCCTGGCGGCCCGGGGGACCCACCCAACCTAGCTCGGAGATCTTAGCACCGGGTTCTGTCGGGGTCTCCCGCAGAGGGTGCGGGAACCTCAGGCTGGCCCCGGGGCTCACCGCAGTCCTTGAAATGCACCGGCTCGGCCAGGGCGGAGGCGCTGAGTGCCAGGAACAGGAACGCGGCGCCCAAGAAACGCATCGCAGCTAAGACTGCAAGCTCAAGGAACGAAGAACCAGATTCCGCGGTCACAAGATAAACCTTCAGGGGCGGGCCGGGGGAGGAGCCCAGTCAGGCGACCGGTCACCAGCAACCGGGTCCGAGGCCTGCCCGCGCCCCGCCCCCGGCTCCAGGGAGCCAGACACAGGGTCCCAGACATTCGCAAACCCCGCCCATCCAGTCCGCTTTGCTGCCGGGCCAGCTGGCTTCCACCTCCCTCCCGCCCAGCTCCTCTCTCCAATGCTCCGTCCGGCTTTGTGGGTGAGTCCCACAAATGCTTCCGCAACGGGAGCATTTCTAGCCAATCAAATCCCCCCTCCTCCTGCACCACCCAATAGGTGTGCTCAGAGGCGGGGTCTCTGTGGATCCCGCTTCCCGAGGCCCAGACGCAGAAGGGGATTGGGACAATGCGAGGGGCGGTGCTTGTGAAAGAAAATGGCGGCCGTCAGAGGGTTGAGGTTAATCGCTATGGCCCTGAGAGCAGTCACTCTCTGGCCAGGGGGCAGGTACCAAGCCCAGAAAAGCACCTGGGAAGGGTGTTTGGTTCTGCGCCTCCAGGACTAAAGGGAAACTAAGGCTCGCGGGGGAGGTGAAGGTTTGGCGTGAGGCTGTCCAGGTGGAGGGACTTCAGGTTTGGCTTGAGGCTGTCCAGGTGGAGGGCGCCAGGTGCCTCTCTGCTCCCAGGCTCACCCTCCCCCCTTGCACAGCAGGCTCCTCGCGGCCTCTCGCGGACCTCGGGCGCTTCGGGAACTGTCGTCCTCCAGCCCCGAAGCTGGCGAAGGGCAGATCCACCTCACCGACAGTTGCGTCCAGGTAAGAGGCCGGACGCGGGGCAGCGGTGGCGGGCGAGGGCCGGGAGTGGGGGGATCTCCCCTTGGCCCACCTTTCTCTCTCCCCTTGCCTGGCATTCTTGACCCCCCTTCCTGCATTTCAGAGGCTTCTGGAAATCACCGAAGGGTCAGAATTCCTCAGGCTGGAGGTGGAGGGAGGTGGATGCTCCGGATTCCAGTACAAATTTTCACTGGATACAGTTATCAACCCCGACGACAGGCAAGGAGAAAGGGGTGGGTTCCCAGAGAATGTGCAGGAGGGATAAAAGTGTCTCCAGTTTAAGGTGCACTTTTATTCCACATTTAAAACGTTTGCTAAGGATAATTTAACATCACCCTTCTCACACAGTGGGGATACAGTGAAGATTTGTTGTCTTGATTCAAAATAACTAAGTCATAGGAGGAAAACTGGCCCGTCTAGGTGCATAGGGTAGTTGGTAGAGGGTCAGGCTGGACTAGAAAGATTCCAGGCTTAAACCTCTAAACATTTCCTAGTATTCATTCCGTTGAATCTTTTTGCCTTAGAGAAGATCAGCACCTGTTAGAGGTAATAAGGGAAGCTTCCTCTGTATTTCAGAAAACAGAGGATGTGCATCTCTGGGCTCAGAGGGTGTTATGTTTTTGGTGTGTATGATATACATTAATGCCTTCCTCCCATCTTTTCAGGGTATTTGAACAGGGTGGGGCAAGAGTGGTGGTTGACTCTGATAGCTTGGCCTTCGTGAAAGGGGCCCATGTGGACTTCAGCCAAGAACTGATCCGAAGCTCATTTCAAGTGTTGAACAATCCTCAAGCACAGCAAGGCTGCTCCTGTGGGTCATCCTTCTCTGTCAAACTTTGATGTGATGACAGGTGACCCAGAGATTACCATCATCTGTACGGATTTGAGGAACCTGGGATTAGAATAATTCTAGAGGTTTCCTTCCAATCATGTCCCTCTCACAGTTTCATTTCCCTCAATCCAGGAATGCTGTGTTTCACCACTATTTATTTTCAGAATGTGAAGCTTTTACTCTTGAGTTAATTTCTCCCACACAGTTGTAAGGCCAAGCCTGTAGATGCTATTACGTAAGATTTAGTAGCTTGTTGAAACCAGTATCATCTGTAGAGCCTCCAAGGTTCCAGAATTTGGAATTCTCTGGCCTTCAGAGCTACTTGTACATATGTGTATAGCTGTGTGTAAAAGCTTCATTTTAAAGAAAGTCCTTAATTACTTGTGTTGTGGATCAGGGTCATAGATTGGGTAGGTTGAACACTGGTTACTAGGCCAGAGAGGATGAAAAAGGCAAATGAAATGTTATCTTTTTCATCTCATCCTTCCTGAATGTGCTAGTTGACTTACCCTTATTTTCTATGCAGCCCATTCTCTGCTTCCCATTTGTTACAGCAGATACATTTTCCTCTCATACTCATGAATCTGCTAGATTCACAAAACCAATTGCCCATCACCCAGAAAACTTGGACCTAAACCTCACTGATACTTGAATTGTTTGAAAAATAGCCTCATACTCCATATTCACACAGACATTTTAAGCTTCTTTGATCCTTTAGTGACTGAATCTTTTTAGAATATGTTGCTTCACTTACCTTATGGTGTAAAATGTTTCTGGTTTCATTGCATAGCAGGAAGTGGTCCCTTTGTTGGCATAGATAATAGATACTTGGGGATTTTTTTTTTTAGTTTGGACTACCAGATAAAATGCAGGATGCCCATTTAAATATGAATTTCAGATAAATAGCAAATAATTTTTAGTATAAGTGTGTCTCAGTGAATACTAGAAATTATTTGTTGTTTATCTGAGATTCAAATTTCACCGGGTATCCTGTATATTTACTTGTTAAACTTGGTAACCTTACTTTAGAGTCACTGAAAGAAGAGCTTTTTAGCTACAAATTCCAATGAATTTTAAAGTACTTGTTTGGTAAAGCACTTAAATAAGCTAAAGAGCTAGAAATAATCGTGGTATGTGTGTGACGGAGCTGGGGCAGCCAGAACTGCATGGACAGACAACTAAAAAAAGATAAAAACACCACCACCATGACAAATGATTAATGAATGCTAATGCTGGGGAAACCACAACCAAGTTGATTCTGTAAGGATTATTGGTTAAACCCATCTTTTCCTCGAGAGCCTAAAAGTTCATGTTGGCAAATCTTGCATTTCTGGACTGGATTGAAATTTTTCTAGACTGGATTGGAATTAAGGTCATTCGATAAAGAATTTACCATTAGAAAAATAGAAATACAGAACTTAGAGACAAAATAGCTGAGACAGAAACTTCATACTTAATTTTCAATATGGGAAAACCTAGGACTTAGAGAAAACAAACCTATCGTGTGTGCAGTCTGTACAAAGATGAAAGAAAGGGACACTCAGAAACCTGAGCAGTTTTTTTTTTAGCAGATATCCATGGAAGGGGGCAGAAAGCAGCGACTGTGGAAGTGTCTGTGTGTAACTTTACTAAGCCATTGAAAGTTGCTGCCAATACCTGGGCCTAATAAGATTTTCAGCTCAGACTAAGGCCTTTCATCCTCGTTAGAAAGAGATTTTGTTACATTTTAGGTGTTAAACCTCTTCTTCCATGATATTTTTGTGGGTTATTTATTTATATGGTGATCTTAGCACTGGCATAATAGCTGTAGTTCAAAAAACAATTAAATTCCAGTGGTCAGTTAGGCAGGAACAGTGTCTCTTTGATTGACCATGTGTAAATACCTCATATTAATGGAAGAATTGGAATTTTGTGTTTACAAAGGGTGGGTTAGGGAGGAATCACCTTATCGCACTGGAAAAGCTTCACAGGGAAACCTGAGGTGGTGACAAGAGGTCCCCATTGGAGGAGGGCAATGTAGACATTTTAAGAACACAGGGCAGGGGGAGTTGATAGCATCAAGGGGACAGGGCAGTTGGCTTGGAATAATAGTAAGTGGTGGTAAAATAGGTTTAGGATCTTCTGTAGGCTCTTCTGACCAGATGCCCTCTTCCTGGCAGGCCGTAAAAGCCAGCACACGTTTTCACAAATTTTGCTCACTGTGCAGTTCATTTAGGAAAATGTTATACTCTTCCAGTATCAGCTGGAAGATTTTTTTGCCTCCCTATTACTTTGAGGGGAGGTTATCAAGACGCTATTTATTGCAGAATTGGTTTTGTTTGACTTCATAAGCTAGTGACTGCCTGGGGCAACATGCCCCACCATTGCCGTAGCCAAACATAATTGTGTAAGAACTGAAGGCACAGGAGCCCTCCCTCTGCTTTATGTGTGAATCTTTATGTTGTTGGCTCAAAAGGGGGGGCTTCTTGGTCAACATCCAGATCTTTCCTTGTTGCGGAGTCATACTCTTCAGTTACATGATGGATAGTGACCCGTGGTATATAAGCTATAGGTGTCCCACCCACCCTTAGTTTCTTTGGGAATGTTGACCAGTTACAAGGGATTCAGAAGTAAGAGATTAGGAAGGACTACTAAGGTAGGTGTCCAAGAAGATACTCTTCTTTCTCTAACTTTTCTTCTGAGCAGTGCGCCCCATTCTTTTGGTCTTTTGTCATAAAGCGTGAGTGGAGGGTCGATATTTGGCAGGAGCATCCTATACAGAGAAGTGGGCAGCACTGACTGTCATGGGGTAGCCCTCTCGTGAACTCTGGCCCTGAACTGACACCCTGCAGTGGGCAGAGCCTAACACTGTCCCTTGCAACATTATCATGGCCTTGCGTGTTTGTCTCAAAAGCAGGAAACTCCTCTACTTTTCTAGATATCTTGCATTGATGTTTATGGTTGCTCTTTTAAAATCCTTGTTTGCCATTTCTCCACAGAAATGCCGCAGGGCTGTTTAAAGGACGTTTGCTTTAAGAAGTTTTGAAATAATTATCATCTGGCTTTAATTGTAAAATATAGTCAGATAAGTATATAAAGAGAGGGAGCATTTAAGCAGTCTATGTCCAGCAGCTGTATTTAAAAATATTTTATTTTTGAATAGGTAAGACATATGGTACAAAATTCAAAAAGACACAAAAGGGAATACAGTGAAAAGTCTCCCAGTCCTGTGCCCATCCACTCTGTTGCCCTCCCCATCAACTACCCTTGTTTCTAAGAATTTAGCCCACAGGTACAATTCCGTAGATATAATGTGAAATAACATATGCACAAGAATGTTCATTACAGCATTATTTTTAATAGCAAAAGATAGGAAACAATGGAAATATCCATTAATAGGGGACTGATTAAATAAATTATGATTTATCCGTTCAGTGGAGACGTATGCAGTTATCAAATCGAATGAGACAGCCCTTTATGTGCAAGTATGTATTAAGTAAAAAAGTGCAGAACAGCATGCACGGTATGCCATTTGTGTTTCTAATACAAGGAAGTATGTGTATATGCATGAACTATCGCGGGAAGGGCGAGCAGGAAGGCGAGGGCTGGGAGGAGGAGCAGTGGGAACGGCATTTAAGGAAGTGCACTTCCCGAAGGGTATATTGAGGAATGGTGAGTTCTCTGAAATACAGCGTGTGAGGTGGAGCGGCAAGGATGAGGTTAGCAGATATCTGATCCTTTACCCCCTCTGTTTTAGAGAAATAGCAATAGCAGCGTAGGCTTCACTTTGTTGGATAACCTTCCTTTTTCCCTTAACCTATTTTGGAAATCTTACCCAGGCATTAAGAGCCACTTTTTTTTTTCTTATTAGGGCTCCATAGCAATTAATTGCTTCTAACCTTTTGCTATTACAAATAATGCTATAGTAAATAACCTCTTACATACGTCATTTTTCATTTGGTAAGAATATATCTGAAGGTTAAATTCCGAGAAGTGGAATTACTGATTTAAAGAGTAAGTGCTTTTATAATTTTGAAAGACACTGCCATATTATCCTCTTCAGAAGTTGTGTCAATATATACTCCTGTCAGCTATGTACGTGAGTACCTCTTTCCCCAGGTGCTTGCCAACTAGGAGTTTTAACAAACTTGAATCTTTGCCAATCTGACAGTTTAAAAAAGTGTCTCAGTGTAGTTTTAACTTGTATTTCTTTTTATTATGAATGAAGGTCAGAATATTTTCATATGTTTAAGAACTATATATTTTTGTCTGCTGAGAACATCTCAACTAGTATAGTGACCTAGATAGAAGAAATTATTTAAGCTTTGTGCGTCCAAGTTCCTCATCTGTAAATTGGGAATAAAAGTAGTAAGTAGGATTGTTGGATGATTAAATGAAATTTGTGTACAGCATTCAACACAGGCCTGGCACATAGCAAGCATTCAATAAGTTATTTTGTGATGGCTGACAGAGCAGCAGGTAGGACAGGACAGATTAAATTAAGAAAAGAGCATTCATCTCCATGTCTTCAGGCACACAGAGCCTTGTTCATTTACATTGCCATTCATCAGAGAAATGCAAAGTCAGAGCTTTCTTTGTCTTAGAAGAGGAAAGAACCTTTTCCTATTGGATATTGGAACTCAATCATAGGCTATCGGCAGAGCTGGCGAGGGGGTAGCACAGCCTCATCTCTAACATTTAGACTCAGCCAAGAAATTTGGTTTATAAATTTGGTTTAATATGAAATAAAAACAAAAACAGAAGAGCCCAGATGTACATTTCTTTATTCCACCGTGGTTTTAAACTCCCAGCTAGCCAAGGTTGGAGTGAGTCTCTAGTTGTAAACTCAGTGGGATGCCAGCCAGCCGTTTTATGAAGGGGAAGAGGACAGAGGCCTCTGAGTAGAGAGAAGAAACAACGTAGGAAATCTCGCTTCCCCTAAACAAGATTACACTGTATTTCATAAGCTAGAAAATAGACCTCTTTATTTTTAGCACATCAAACTGGTGTCCACAAAAGGAGAGCCCAGGAGAGATTTGTTTCCTGTAAGAAGCAGTATGTATTTAACAGAGGTCTTCTGAGGTGGGCACCCTGCTTTGTGGCAGCCCTTGCTGTGGTGTACAGGAGCTATTGCTGGGTATATTCTGAATGTTTATTTACCTGAAGCTACTGAATATTTTCTTTAGACTTGTATAAAGCCCTGGCTCCCCCCCTTTTTTTTTATCAACTCCCCATATTTTTTTACATTGCCTTTTTGCTGCTTTCTCAGGCTCCTTGCTCCCCTTCATCTGTGTCTCTTACTAGCAATATAGTATCAGTCTTGTTTCTCTGAGATGAGGGGATCTTCTTCCCCTCCCCGGGGCCACAGAACTGGCAACAAGGTGGAGATGTGGCACAACTGGCCCAGACCAGATTTGCCGAGTGGTGGTGATGGTTCTTGGGAGGAGGCATTGGAGTCACTCCCCAAACTCCCCCCAATCCTTTTTTGCTTGATAGATTCTGAAGGACCATCCCAGGGCAGATACAGCCTCTGATCCAGGTGTGGAATCATCAGGATGATACGTGGATCATGGCTGGAAAAGGGTGTGTGCAGTGTGAGGCCGAAGGACCTTGCATGTTTGCACAGCTTGAGGGGCTGGTTCAGGGCCATCCTTTGGTAAGCATCCCATAGCAAGGCCAGGACAGATGGCAGACTGGGCCTCACGGCCAGTGGTTGAAGCATTAAAGCATTTGGTGGTGGTTGAGCCAAGCAAGGGCATGGCGGTGTGGAGGTGGTGACAGAAGCTCACAGGCAGAGCCGAAGCTGGGGGAGATGAAAAGCAGGTGAGGCTGGCTGGGAGCTGGCTGCAGGGCCTCCTGCCCGGTGTCTTTGTGTCGTCTCCCCAACTAGGAGAGCTTCCTCAAGGCCCCGCCTGTGGCCAGGGCCCACTTCCAGGTAACCGCCTGCACTGACCCCTCGCCGCTACTCCTTGGCGGTGCAGCGTGGGGGGCCTGCCTCGGCAACATAACCTGGGGGGCAGTGGCAGCGGTAGGAGCCCTCCGTGTTCTCACAGTGACCTTGGACACAGAGTGCTGCAGGTCCGTTCAAGTCATCACATTCATTCACATCTAAGAGGAGGAGAGGGAAGAGAGAGCTGTAGGGAGCCCACGTGCCTCCGGCCTGCTGCCTCTGCCCCTCTGGCCACTAAGCCCTGACCCCTGCCCTGCAGTGGAATCCTAGATGTGGCGGCCGGAGGATAAAGCCACTGCCCAAAAGGAAGCAACTTACGGATACAAAGCCGGTGATAGTGGGCCCATACTGTGAACATGCTGTCTTGTCCCTGCCTTTCTTCTATCTGGGAACCTCCATGGAAAGGGCTATCTAAACACAGCGTAGACCCCTCGGCCTGGAGCCCGGCAGGCCTGCTAGGGGGCAGCAGTGGATCTCCCAGCTAGGCTCAGTCCTGTACCCTCAGTGAGCAGTGGGCCAGTCTGACTTTTCCACATGGAGCCAGCAGGGCCGTCCTGCTCCCTGGGCATTGCCACTCTGATTCCAAACCTACCCACACAGGCCATGTTGGCCGTGTCCAGCTGGAAGCCCTCGAAGCAGTCACAGGTGTAGCCCTCCTGCACGCGCACGCAGCGGCCATTCTCACAGCCGTTCAGGATGCCGCACTCCTCGGCCTGAAGCCCTTCAAAGCCGGCCTGGTGCTCTGGTAGGAGGGAGTCAGAGAGAGAAGGGGGTTCAGAGCGTTCAGAGGGTTCCGCTCAGAGGGTTTCCCCTAATGAACTCCTGGGGTCGGGGTGGGAAGGATCATAACACTCTCACAGAAAGATGCTGAGACAAAAAGCAATACTCTTTTTTTTTTTTGCGGTACGCGGGCCTCTCACTGTTGTGGCCTCTCCCGTTGCGGAGCACAGGCCCAGCGGCCATGGCTCACGGGCGCAGCCGCTCCGCGGCATGTGGGATCCTCCCGGACCAGGGCACGAACCCGTGTCCCCTGCATCGGCAGGCGGACTCTCAACCACTGCGCCACCAGGGAAGCCCACGCTTACTTTAAATGAGGGCTCTGGGGAGGTTGGTACTCACTGCTTTCACAACGCCAGGGCTCCGGAGCGCTTGGGTGTCCCTGTACAGTTTTGATTTTGTTGTGGTTGGTGGCAGCGTATTTTGTTAAAATCTTTACATAGTTTTTTTGGGGCGGACATGATTGGTAGCAAAAGGGAATTACCCTCACTCACCACAAAGCAAAACTCCTCCAAGATCTGCCTAACCCTCTTCTTTCTCTAAGCAACCCCCCTCCCCTGGAAAAGACCCTGTCCCTAATCTCAGTGCAGTTTTGATCAGTCTGATGCAGTGGCTGTCCCCGTGGCAGGTACCGCGTCCACTGCACAGATGCCACACCCGACTTCCTCATTAGAATCCAAGTCCCGAGTGCTGGGGTCATTGCCACTTACAAACTGGGTCACCACAGTGGACCTTTAAAGTGATTAGAAATCCTTGATTCCCATTTCAGGTCACAAGTGTGAACCTGTAGAGCAGGGTATCCTGCATACTGTAAGTGGCGTGGTGGGAGTGTGCTGCTGTCCCCCTCTTCAACTCCCACAGGCAGCTTTTGGGGTTGGGATGATGCCCTGTACCTCTCTGTGTCCCCTGTGCTAGTCCATCAGAGGGAGGTGTTCATGTGTGACCCGGGCGTTTGGAGTTCTCCCTTGAGTGACCCGTGAGGGGGCTTGGGGGTCTTTTCCCTTTCCTGTCCTCACCCTGCTGACAGTGATGAGCAGATGGAGGAGATGGAAGTGAAACAGCTTCAGAGCCCACCTCTTCCCCATTTTTGCAGCAACACAGACCTGGATGGCTGGCCACGTAGTGGGGCTGGAGTTCTGAGGGCTGCAAGGGAGGCTCAAGGACCGGTGTGCGGTCCCCTGGGCGGCTGGCCGTGTTGGGGAAGAGCGGCTCAGGGATGGTGTCCTCGGGTCCCAGGTAGTTGTAGAAGGGGACCCCGTCTGGGCCATAGAGGCTGTAGTGCAGGTCCTCGGGCCCAGGGCCATACTCATAGCCAGGCCGGAAGTGGACCCCGGCCTCCCGCTCCGCTTCAATGCGGGCCACGTTGCACAGCTGAGCGTAGACCTCTGTCAGAGAGGAGGGAGAGAGGAAGCTGGGCCTGGCTCCTGGTAGCTGAAGCCTGGAGTGCTCTTTCCCCAGCTCATGCTCACCGCCCCACGGAGAGAGGGAGTGTGCTGGGACTGCCGTCCTCTGTCCCCAGCTCTGTCCCCAAACAACAGGGACGGAAGACAGGGCCTTGACTTGCCCTACTCCGTTCTAAATCCACAGACCTGGATGGCTGTGGATTCCAAGGTGAGGACATCCCCTACCCTGGGGCCCAGCCCAGCTCCGCAGGTGTCTCCCCTTCCCTCCTTCAGGCACAGGCCGCCCTTCTCACCAGAGCTCCTGGGGGGGCACAGAGCACACTGCTGGCTCCAGGCCTCGCCGTCCTGGCAGCAGCACTCAGTGTAGGTGGTGTGGCGCCCGTGCAGGGGATGGCTGCACACGTAATTGGTGACTTTTTTCCAGCAGATGTCCGTGTGGATGTCATGGTCAGGCAGGTCCTCTGGCGGCACAGGGCGTGGAGGCATGTGAGCCCCCCCAGCCCAGGTCCGCTCCCCCGGCTGCCCCACCGCCCCACGGCCCCCCCACTGACCCGCACCGCTGGTGCTGTTCACGCAGCGCTGCTGGCTGAGGTCCAGGGTGAGGGGCGGGCTGCAGAAGCAGTGGAAAGAGCCTTCCGTGTTCATACACCCGCCATTCTCACAGGCCATGTCCTGGCACTCATCGTGATCTGGAAGGCAGGGAGATGGGAGGAAGGTCGGGGGCAGTGCCAACGCGGCCTGCCCACAGGCCACCTTCAGGGAAGGGGGTTTTCTTGTAACTGTGTCCCCTCCTCACCCCCTTCCCAGGGATGCCTTTCCGGTAGGTTCCCTCACCTCAGACCTGCCCGCTGTAGTGGGTGTCTTCCCCGGGAAGGGGAACTCCCAGCAAGAATTGGGCTGGCTGGCAGGGGTGGGTGAGCACTCAGCTCTGGGCCCCAGGGTGGGGAGGGGTGCCAGGTGTCTCACCCTCACACTTCCTGCGGGCAGCGTCGTAGTGGTAGCCAGGATCGCACAGGCAGATGTAGCCAGGCACCGTGTTGAGGCACCGGCCGTTCTGGCAGAGACCGGGCCCAAACATCACACACTCGTCGGCATCTGTGGGAGGGCAGAGCTGAGGCGAGGGGAAGGCGAGAAGCAGGATGGGGCAGTTCTTAGGACTAGGGGTTCCAAAGCCAGACTGGCTGGGGTCGAATCCCGGCCTTGCCACTTGCTAGGTGGGCGACTTCGGGCAAATTGCTTAAGTTCTCCTTGCCTCAGTTTCCTACCTAGAAAATATGGATACCACTACTTAACCTCTTAGAGTTAATGAGGATTAAAAGGTTAATACATGTAAGGTGCTTAAAACGGTGCTTGGCACATAGCAAGCATTCAAGGGGAACTACTTCCATTTCTGTTATTTCCTTTTCCAGTTTCAGGTGTGAGCCCATTCCTGAACCACCCTTTCTGAGTGTGAGTTCCCCAAAGTTTCGGGCTTCGTAAGTGGGGCCAGGGAGACCAGCAGCTGCCTCTGGCCTGTGTCCCTGTGCCCTGTGACTGGGTTAGTCAAGGCATCATAGTTTGTTCCTTGGAGGGTTCAGCCTCGAGTGAGCAGAGAAACCAAAGTGGGGTTGTATAGACACTCCAGGAGGAGCTCAGGTCAGAACTTCCAGCTAAAAATCTGCAGCCCTGGGACAGGAACGTTGGTTGGAAGCACCCTGAGAGGCAGGGACTGCATGCAGAGCGTCCCTGGGGGCCTCATGGAGGACCAGGCCGGGCCTAGTCAGGTGAGTGGCATTTGGGAAGGAGGGTCTGTAGGGAGGTTACCTGTGTATGTGGTCTGTCCAAACATCCAGGCTCCTTCCACAGGGATGTAGCCTTTCCCGCTAGGGCAGATCTCGCTGAATTCGACTGTGCAGGGAGGCATCCAAGCTCAGAGGGAGAAGGGTTCTGCCACCCCCCCTTCCTCTCCCCCCTTCTTTCAGTGTCACCCTGCAGAGCTGACCCTGAGAGGATTTGGGACCCTTGGGGGCCTTACCTGAGTCCTCGGCTGGGCACAGCTCACAGGCATCTCCCCAGCCGGTGCCCTGGGTGCAGCAGCACTCGGCCTGCGTGGTGTTCCGGCCCAGAAGACTGGAGCAGGGCGGCTGGCCCTTTTGCCCAGAGTAGCATCCCATGCGGATGGGGCCTGGGGGGTGTTCCCCTGGCGGGGCCTCAGGGATCCTGTGACCTATTTGCGATAGAAGCCCCTTATTATTGTCCGTTCATGGCCCCCTGGGGCACCCTAGCCTTTGAATTTATTTTAAAATTTAACCATTTATATAGCGCTTTACAGTGTGCGAAATGCTTCCATTGTCTCGCCTGATGCTCTTCACACCCGTACGGAGAGCTCACCCTAGGCCATCTGTCATAGAAGAGGCAGCCGAGGCTTCGAGAAGCTAGGTGACTTGCCAAAGCCACCTAGTGGCTTAGCAGAGAGTTGACCCCCGTTCCTCTGGTGCCAAACCCCCGCTCCTTCCAGCGTACCATCCTGCCTCCCTCCACTGTAGTGGGGCACCCCCAGTCCCCGGCATACCGTATGGGCAGCCCTCTCTGCCCATTCCTCTGCTTCACACTGTACCCCTGCCCCTCCCACCCTTCCTTGTTCTAAGTCCTGCTTGCTTTTCCCCAAGTCAGAGAAGTCCAGCTGAGTCCCAGTCCCGCCAGGGCTGACAGGCTGAGCCCAGCAGCATCCCTCGGTGGAGTGGGACGGGGAGAGTCGAACTTAGCTCAGCTTCAGAGTCTCCCTCAGCCAAGAGCTCCCCGGGGTTGGATTGAGGCTCCCTCCAAGGCTCAATCTGAGATCCCTGAGGACCCCCTAAATTGGCATTATAGCTTCTTGAGCCTCCTGTAGTGTCGTCACAACCCTGCAGCCTCCTGGAAGTTCCCTGGCCTGGAGCAGACTCGGCACCGCACTCTCAGACTCCTCACCGCTCGGCGCTCCATCCCTGAGCTGCAGCCCGGCCCGGCCCACATCCCTAAGAGCTGGAGCAGTGGAAGTGCTTTGTAAGCCATGGAGTGGTGGTGCACAACGACGGGGTGGGGTCCGGGGCTCACCTCCAGCCACCCGCGGTCGGCAGCGCCCCTCCTGAGCGTCATACTCCTCCAGGTCGCTGGCGCAGAGGCACAGGAAGGAGCCCTCCACGTTCTCGCAGAGTGCCGCCCCGCATACCGCCAGCATGAGCTCGCACTCATTCACGTCTGCCAGGCAGGAGGACAGACTCGTGGGCAGAGGAGAGGCAGCCCAGGCACCCCTGCCCCTGCCTCAAGGCCAGCAGGCAGATCCTTGTCTCATCCCCCCCCAAAGAAACAGGCTAGGCCTTGGGGCAAGAGTGGAAGTGGGTATGAGTTAGCAGGAAGGAGGAACAGATGAGCAGAGGGCATGGGAAGGAAGAGGAAGAAGGAGAAGGATGGCAGAAAAGAGTCTGTAAGTGGACAAAGAGGAAGGGTTCCTCCCTCCGCACGGTCCCCACATGTGCCCCTTGAGACCTTAGGGTCTCTGGGGAAGGGTGGTGACTTCACTGGCGTGCTTGCTTCCCCTGCTGGTGAAGGTGGCCTCGTTTCCTTGACCAACCTGGCCAAGGTGCCCCTGTAGGGTGGGGCTGAAATCTCCCTCCCTTGCCACTCTATGAGGACCCCTTATGGAGCCTTGTTAGACCCTGAACATTTCAGGAGGAGGGCCCTAGGGCCCCTCTATGCAGGGCAGCCAAGATCTGCAGAGATGGGATCAAGGGCCCAAGGGCCTTCCCTTCCCTGGCTCAGGCTTCTCACCAATGCAGTCCCAGCCGGAGGGCGAGGTCTCGAAGCCCTGGTCACAGAGGCAGCGGAAGGAGCCGTCGGTGTTGTCACAGAAACCGTGGCTCCCACACATGGTGTCGTTGGCACACTCGTCTATGTCTGTGGGACAGGGGAGGCTACAGTGTAGGGTGTGCTCTCTATTCGCTGGGAATTCTTATTTATTTGGTCTACTAACACCAAGATTTCTGAAAGCTAACTTCTGAATACAGGAAAGGAAAACTCTAACACTGACATTCCTCTTCAATTTTTGTGTAAGCACTGCTGTATGGAAAATACACAAACTTCAGACAGCAGCAAAAAATAGTTTCTAGCTGGATACATGAAAAATAGGTGTCCTCAGGCTTCTCACCCTGGACACCCGCTCCCGACTCACCAGCACAGTCTCCAGTCGGGGCCACATGGAAGCCGGGCTGGCAGCCCGGGACACAGCGGTAGGAGCCGGGGCTGTTCTCACACCTCCAGGCCCCACACGCCGAGTCTCCGAAGTCCTCACACTCATCAGTGTCTGTCCCCAGAGTCATGAGAGGGGACAGAAGTGGCTGGGTCACTACTCTGGCCCCACCTCTCTGGCATTAAAAGGTCATGCCGCACAACCTCTGGGGTCTTTGATCTGTTCCAAACTACTGTGCTCGTGTCAACCCCCAAGCATCTACAGCAGAGCACTTCCTACTCCTCTTTATAGAAGACCTTCCCCAAAGTGTATTATGGAGAGTCGTCTTCATATCTGTCTCCCTTGGTCAATTTCAAGATTGTCCATAACTGTCTATTTGTTCCAGCAAAAGACATTAAACCCAGGTGGTGTTTAATAAATGTCTGTTGCATCAGTTTGGCTTTAAGAACTAGATTATGTGCTCTGCTAGCACAAGGACACCCTGAGACAGCCCCTGAGTCAGCAGAGGCTCAATAAGTGCATTGGACGATTAATCTGTGGAAAGTTCTCTGCTTCCTGGAAGCTGGGGGTCCGGGTCCCAGGGAGCTGAGGAGGAGGCAGAGTGGAGGAGACAGACGTGGGGAGGGGCCCCGTTCGCCCCCCCAGAGCCCTTACCCACACACTCCCCACTCTCTGTGGAGGTCTGGAAGCCAGTCTTGCACAGACAGTTGAAGGAGCCCTCAGTGTTGACACATTGCCCCCCGAGACACCGGTCAGTGACTGCACACTCGTCCACATCTAGAATAGAGACATCTGGCAGCAGGACCAGCCATGGGTCCCCAGGGCCCTGTGCAGCTTCCTCTGGGCCCTGAGGAGCCCATAGGAGGGCCAGGGAGTGGCTCGAAGTAGGAAAGTGCTGGAAGGTCCCAGGGAGAGTCCAGAGCTGGAAGCCAGAGGCCCGACTGGGGGGCGGAGCCCTGGAACTGGGGCTGTGTCAAGGGGAGAGAGGGTGAGGGCACCTGCCATAGACACCATGGAGAGGCTCTGGAGGAAGACTGAGACCCTCCTGACACCTGCCTCCCACCTCATCACTCAGCCTCCTATCTTCCCATCCTGGGTGGGACCGTGAGCATTTTCAGTACTCTAGATAGCCTCTAGCGCCCCCTGCTGCTGGCTACTCACCCTGGCAGCTGGCGCCCCCCTCTGCGCTGGCAAAGCCTGGGGCGCAGAGACAGAAAAAGGACCCGTGGCTGTTGAGGCACTCGCCGCGCGGTGCGCAGTACTCCTCTCGCACGCACTCGTCCACGTCTGTAGGGAGAAGATGGGCTGTGCTGTCTCCCGGGGACGCTCCCGCCTCCCCGCGCACTCTGCCCCCGTCCCCGGTGGGGAGACCTGAGCCACTCACCCTCACACACGGTGCCATTGGCCAGCTGGAAGCCCGGGGGGCAGAGGCACTGGTAGGAGCCAGCCGTGTTCTTGCACTCGCCTCCCAGGCAGCTGCTCTGGGGGTCTTCACACTCGTCCACATCTGCCGGGTCACACAGGGAGGAGGGCAGCCGATGGCAGCACCTCCCAAGGGCAGGAGCCAACGGGGAGGTCTCCAGAGGACCTGGCACCTGCCTGAGGAGACTGGACCCATAGGGGCATCGCTCCCTTGTAAAGCAGTAGAGCTGGGAGAAGCTGGCGAGGGAGCCTTTGGGGAGCGGGATAACTGCAGCTCCCTCCTTCTGTCCCAGCTCCCCCGCCTCTGGCAGCTCACACAGTGCCCACCTTGGGGACAGTTGGCCTATCCCAGCAGCCCTGGCCTAGGGTGGCCGAACCCCACTGCCCTCATCATGGCTGAGATGGCTGAGATTTCACTGAGAAACAATTGGGAAGGCAAATGAGAAATAAGCCGAGGAAGCAGATACAGAGAACCTGAGAAGGTAACAGAAACTAGATTATTATTACTATTTTTTTTGGGGGGGGGCGGGAAACGCAGGCTTCTCACTGCCGTGGCCTCTCCCGTTGTGGAGCACAGGCTCCGGACGCACAGGCTCAGTGGCCACGGCTCACGGGCCCAGCCGCTCCGCGGCACGTGGGATCTTCCCGGACTGGGGCACGAACCCGTGTCCCCTGCATCGGCAGGCAGACTCTCAACCACTGCGCCACCAGGGAAGCCCAAAACTAGATTATTTAAATTGGCCTACAGATTGCCTGGTACAGGCCAAGGTTTTTCGGAATATGGTCCCAGCACCCACCCTTACAAGGAAACCTTGAGGACCTTCTTAGATGACAGATCCCAAGGGCCCCCGACAGAGGTGGATTTAGTAGGCCTGGGACAAAGCCCCGGGAAGCTGCCTGTTGAACAAACTCTCCCAGCGATTCTGACACGTGCTGAAGCTTGTGATCCAGTGGCTCAGTGGTCCCCTAGACCCAGTTCTGCAGTCGCCTTTCCAACTACTGTTGGGGGAGGGGCAAGAATAGGTGTCCCCAGCTGCCCCACCATCTGAGGTGAGCGCCCTTCTCTAAGGGTGATGGGTTAGTCTGCGCTCTTCTCCCCCACGGCAGGGGGGGGCCTCTCACGTCACAGGTGTGGCCCAGGGCGCTGGGCTGGTAGCCCCGCTCGCAGTCGCTGCAGGAGAAGGAGCCGGCAGTGTTGGTGCAGACTCCCGAGGGGCAGACTCCCAGAAGGGCACACTCGTCTAGTTCTGGGGCAGACAGCCAGCCAGTCCCCGGGGGCCTAGGAGGCCTCCCTCCACCTGGTGAGGCAGGAAGCACCCCACGCCTCTGGCTCCCTCTCTGACCTCATAGGACTTTCTGGGGGTCCCTGGCTGTGAGCCTTCTGTAGGGCAACCCCAGTACCCTCTCCCCAGGATGCTCCTGGGGCGGCTATACCGTCAGCTTCCCTCTTGCCTCCGTGACTCCCTTTTCCTCCTGTCCTCATGGAGGAGGAAATAGAAGCTGTCCCTGGGGCCAAGGCCATTCACAGGGTCCTCTAGCCTAGCCTGGAGACCCTCAGCATCAGCCCCAAGCTGGGGGACAAATGGAGTGTTCTTTGAGAGGTAAGAGGGCCTGTGTTCTCGGTCCCTCTCGGCCATCCCCCCTCTCCCGGGTTACCTTCGCAGGCAGTGCCGTCCTCGTTCACCCAGTACCCACTGTGGCAGGCCGAGCAGGTGAAGGAGCCCTCCGTGTTGAGGCAGAGGCCCGCGGGGCACGAGGTGCGGCTGGCACATTCATCAGCGTCTGAAACAGGCCGTTGAGCTCCGTGTGGGGCTCGGGCTCTGCCGGACAGACACGCCGGGCTAGGCAGAGGCCAGTGGGGCGGGAGCGGGGCAGGGCGGGGGAAGGACGGGTCTCGCAGCCACATGTTGGGTCAGCGTGCTCAGGGTTGCGGGGCCAGAAGGAGGGAGCTGCAGGCTGACTCGCTGCGGACAAAGCGTGCTTCAGATCTTCTTTGTACCTTGGCAGCCCTTCTCGTCCGAGGTGACCTCGTAGCCCGGCTCACAAGAGCATCTAAAGGAACCCTCCAGGTTGATGCACGTTCCATGGGCGCAGACCCCAGGGGTCAGACACTCATTCACATCTGCGGGAGAGAAGTCCAGGATGGCGGGCTGGCCTCATCTTCCTCACGCAGCCTCCGTCATCAGGCTGAGAGCATGTCAATTACGAGGCCAGGGAATCAGCATTCAGAGGGGGCCATAGGCACCCTGGGAAGGGCATGAAGTCCTTCCTGTTCCTGGGCCTACCTACTTAGACAGGGTACCCTTCTCCCCTGAGCTCACTTCCCCCCACCGAGCTCACTTCAGCTCTATCTAGTGACACAGAGCATCCTGCAAATTCCTAGAAAACGGGGCCAGGTCCCCCAGTCCTGGGACTGGTTTGGCCCATCTGAGGACACCTGCAGTCAAGTGTCTAAGACACTTGACTCACCCTATAGTGAGTCTGAACCTCTCTTGTCTCCTACCCACCAACCAGACTGGCATTATCTCATGTTCCCAGCCCACCCACCAGGTTCAATAGGTGAGTGGGCAACGCAGAGAGAGGCCAAGTTATGCCTGGGTGGCTGAGTGGCAGTCTCAAGGGCCTGGGAAACGTCTGCCCTCTCCAGAGCCTCAAAGCGTCTATTCACAACTCAGTCCCTCGTGGCATTCTGAACCCTGGGTCCTTCTTCCTGTAGGGGCTGAGGGAAAGAGCATTCCTCCTACAGATGACATGCAGCGCCCCTCCCCCCGGAGGGAGAAGAGCACCCGCTGTTCAGTTAGGCGTTGCTGTTAGACACTGAGACATTGAGATGCAGAAGAGCAGAAGACCACTCCTCCCTGGGAAACACACCACTGGTGTCAGCCCCTTCCAAAGACGCTTGGTACCTCACTCTACCTAGCAGGATCCAGCCACAGAAGCCGCTGGGACCTTGGGCTGTAGCCCAAGGATGGATATGGCCAAGGAGCTGACAGGCACCCCCCACCCCCGGCTGATTCAGAGGGCAGAGCACCAGTAACTGAAGCACACCCATCTCAGCCCCAGCGTCATCTGGGAACCCAGCCAGGTCATGGAGGACAATAGCCTCCAAGCCACTTCCCTCTGCCCACCCCTTCCCCTTCCTGTTGTGGGCTCATCCAGGGGTCCCAAGGCCAAACAGCCCCCTCAGTGCCTTGGCAAGCAGCCCTCACCTACACAGCTCCCACTCTGGCCCCTGTAGCCCTCCTCGCAGGGCAGGCAAGTGTAGGAGCCAGGGGAGTTGACGCATCTCCCGTCAGGGCAGGTGCCGGGGTGATGGCATTCGTCGATATCTGCAAAATAACAACCCCGCCCGCCTTGGTCATCTCTGCGAACCACGGCACATGGGTGGGCTGTGAAGAAGCAAATCCTTGACCCTGCCCTTGGCTGGGGAGAAGGAGGGATGTCAGTTTCTGTACTGATGGAAACTAGGAAAAAGTGAGCGCTGTCCTGTGTTCCCAACCCCACCTCCCATCCACTGTCCTGGACAAAAGAGAGATGGAAGACCTTTAGGAAGGGAGACTCCTTGGTGAAGGAGGCTGCCCTTCCACTAGCTAGGGGAGGGTGAGAGAGCTTGAATTCATGAGCTGGACTCTTGGGAAGGGCCTTCGTATCTCCCTTGTTCCTTTACAAGGGGTGACAATGACGTGTTTGGACGTGCTTGGCAGATCCCGGAGGCCCCAGAATAGATCCCAGCTGGGCAATGAGGGCCAAATGGGCTTCCCTGCACCAGGAAATGAGGACTGAGGATGATCCCCCAATCTTAGATGTGGCCAAGACCAGCCCTGAGGCTGATGCAGGGTGAAGGGTGGAGGCTGGCAAGGCTTCTCAGCTGGAGAGGAGACTTTTCTTCTAGCTGAGAACCACATAGAGCTCCAGCACCCACTCTGGTGAGATCCAGGAAAGTCAGCCAGAAAGGATGAGTCTGAGCACCAACAGGACAAGTAGGGGAAGGGGTGATCCATGGAGAGAGAGAGCAGCCAGTCCTGGGAGAGTGACAGGGAGTGGGAGGGTGAGCTTTCTCCCAGGAACTGCATGCAGGGCTCTTCCCAGCGTGAAGCTTGTATACTGGGGAGTCCACCATCCAAGGCCCCCAGGTGACCTGGGCTGAGTTAGGGAGGTTGTGACACAGGGATTGAACTCTGGGTCAGGACTGCAGGAGGACATTCTGCTCCTCTGGCCCAGTGTCGAGGCTCCCAGTCACTATTCATGACAGACAGAACTATTCATGACAGACAGATTGACCGAGCGCCAGATTTACCCTCCCTATGTGGATAACTGTCATTCTCCTGCAGGGAGGCCACCCGTTCATGTAGATTCAGAGACCCTACTGCCCAGGAGGAAGACCTACTCAGCACCCATGGAGGAAAGAAAGGCAGGAGGCAGGGCCAAGGGTCAGAACACAGGCTTTCTGCAAAGGGACTCAAGCCAGCAGCTGTCATAATAGAACAGGACATGGGCCCGGAAGTAGAGGGTGAATATGAATCTCCTCTGAGGTTGTTTGGTCTACAGAAGACCGGGTACATCAAAGCCCTCTGTCCCAGGGAGCCAGGTACCTCTCAAGGTCAAAACTTCACCCTGAGGGTCCACATGAGGAAGACATACACAGGGCGGGTGGTTTTTCAGGTGGTGTGTGTAAGGAGATACCCAGAACTCCCGGGCAATCTTGGGGACACTGAGATAAGGCTCACCTCTGGAAAGAGGGCAGCCAAGAGCCCCTAGCTGGGCTGTGGTGACACCAGGCTAAACTATTCTAAGGGCTTCTGTAAAGACAGAGATGGAGAGAATGAGACAGAGGTGGAGGAAATGAAGGTCCTAGGGCCACCAATTTTGGCCAGCACCATGGCCCGCTGGCCTTGGCTGAGGTACCGAAGGAAAATGGGCAAAGCCATTGGGAATTATCCACAATTCCTGCTTCAGGGATGCGAGACTCCGGGATGAAGAGAAAGAATGAGGCAAGGATCCTCCTCTAAGACCACACTGAGGAAAAATGGAGTCTTTGGACCTCTCCTGCAGGGATCAGGCAGGACAGGAAGGAGATTAGATTTACCAGGAGCAAAGGGCCCTGAGGTCTGCCCTGCCCCAAACGTTCTGGGCACATCTGTGGAGGTGGTGCCCGAACTGTTTCACACTAGGCATTAGGAGACTTGCAGGACGAATGCTGTTCACTGAGAATTCCAGCTCTCCACTTCTGGGCCACGGTGGGCTTGTGCCTCCTGGTCCCTTGTGGTTGGATGGGGCCAGGGGACTAGTGCTGGCCAGTAGCTAGGACGTGTATAATTCATGGGCCCAAACATTTATTTGTGTGCAACCCTGCAGGGTGCTCTTTCTTTCTTCCATGAACACTGGCCACATTCAAGATGCCGGCCATTCCTTTAGCCAGGCTCTAGGGTGAGGAAACGTGGGGCGGGATGTTTCCTCATGATGGACATGTGGCCTTGGTCAGATATCAAGTTTGCGGTGTCCTAAATCACTAAGGTTGAGGTTGGTTGTTAATGTAGTATAACCTGGCCTGTCCTGGCACACCCACCACTGGCACACCTGGCACACCTTCCTCAGACCAGAGCCCCAGCCAGCGATGATCATGTGCGAGAGGTCTGCCAGCAGGTGAGAGAGGGAGGGCAGAGGGTCAAAGCAGCCCACAGTCTCCACCTGAGCCAGGGCAGGCCTCTTCTAAGTGGGGGTGGATATAACAGAGCCACTAGCCTAGCCGATTAAAGGAACCAGATAAAGATTCTGGATGAAGTGGGTTACATGTTAAAGGCACAAGCTCTGAGGTCACCAGATATCTTGAGGCTGTTCCACCAACCTCTTTGTGCCTGGAGCCAGATTTTTCTGCCTAGTCTAGGGTTTGAATTTTAATCTAAGCTTATGGTATGCTTTGGTAGCTTTTACCCTGGTCCTTGGGGGGCAGGAGCTGTCTGTCTTTTTATTGCTATATTCCTAGCCCATGGCTGGGACCCAGCTGGTGCTCAACAAGTGTTTGCTGACCAAAGAATGAGACCATGTGACTAACTAAACCTTCACATCCTCTTGGTATGAGGCTGCTGAAGAGATCCCAGAAGACCCAAGGAAACAGTCACCCCAGGGACCAGCTTGCCAACCTGCTGTCTGTACACTGGGAGGATCCTGGAGCTTCTCTAACCAGCACTGCAGCCTCTGCGTGAGGAAATGTGAGGGTGCTGCCTCTGTTCCTTGTGAGGGCACAGGGTGGGGAGGGTGCTCACTCAGGCGCCAGACGCTCAGGTGACCTTGGACGTGGGTGGGGACAGCAGAGCCCTGGCAGTCTGCAGGGGAACCTAACCCCTTTCCATGGGAACCCAGAGTCATGGTACGATGGAAATGCCATCGAGACTTTGGATGGGCTGCTGTCCAGACCACTCAGGCCTTTCAGCAGATACTTGAAGTTTAAGTGGAGAGAGTGGTTTCTTAGTTGGAAGAAGAAGAAAGAAGGAGAGGAAATTCACTGGGCTCTCGGGGTGATGGGCCGGGTCTGTGGTTATGGATGGAAACCTGGGGAAGTGTGCAGGCTACATCCGTTTTTCTCTCAGCAGACTCAGAGTGTCTGCCCTGGGCCAGGAACTCAGCCTGACCTCCCAGCCGAGGTGTGTGTCTGGAACCTGGCGTTGAGGGGAGATTAGACGTGCGAGAGAACGGGTCCTCAGACAGTAGTGCCGCCCCCTACTCGCTGAGGGGCTGCACGTGCACTTTGTATGTGGCAGGTTATTCAGTCCTCACAGGAGCCCCTAAGATGGGCATTATGGTTTCCATTTTCAGACATTGAGGCAAGAGCCAAACCCAGGCCTGTCTCCGCCAGAGCCTGTGCTCTTGCACGGACTGGTTAGTATAAATTTGATATTTTTAATGTCCTGGTATTTTTCTTAGTTCATTTCCTTTAGTTTTGCTTTACTTTTTAACAAAGTCTAATGCCAAATTAATAATGTTCGATGCTTAAATGAGGCAGTCTATCAGATCCCTAACACAGCACCTGGCACATAGCAGGCACACATCAAATGCTAACTCCCTTCACTCTCCCTTCTCCCGGAACATGCCAGGATGTCTGTCCCCAGTAAGTTAGTGAGGATAAGGGAAGTGGGTTCAGGTTTTGATCATAAGTGGGCCTGAGTTTAAACGGGGAGGCATTGAGAGGGGAAAGTAACACGCCAGGGATGCAGACAGAGCATTGTCTGTCCTACACCCCTAGTGACCTCTCCCCTTTGCCAAGACCTGCCAGGGCTCTGGACTCTGCTTCTGTGGTAGTGGCATTGGGAAGGGGGTGGGCTCCCTTCACCAGACACAGAAGCTCATCTCTCACCTCTAGGACACTCTGAATCTTGGCCCAGGGAAACCTGGAGGCAGGGAGGCGTCTGGGCCTAACCTTGGATCCAGGGCAGGACTTCCTTCCAGAGAGAGCCTGGATTCCCCCTCACCCCTTCCTGTCTCAGCCAGTCTTGGGAGCACATGACCCAGGCCTCTTGCAAGCATCTGAGACCCCCAGCCTGGCAAGGGGGTGGAAGTGGCAGGGCTACCAGGAGCTGACATGATGGTGGCAGGTTCAAGCCAGTCTGTGAGGACATCAGTTGGCAATGACACAGCCAACTTATGGCAGGGCCTGGGAAAGGGGGCCAGGATGAGGGCTCATTTGTTCATTTATCCCACTAGCATTTGTTGGGGTGTCCAACACATGGACATTTGTCAGGTGTCCATGCATGGTCATCTAAGGATATGGTCCAGCTCTGAGGAGCTCACAGCCTTAAAGCTTTAGCAAGTAGGCCGAGCCCAAGGCCCCAGGCACCTCCCAGATAGATCAACCTTCCCTCTGCCGCATGACTCAAGGTGAGGGGCAGAGGTGCATGGAGGGGTGCTCCCGGGATCTCATGTACATAAAGTTACTGTGCTCCGTGCTGCCAGGACAGACAGGATGTCAAAATCCCACTGAGGGGACAGAAGGGCTCCAGAATCCACAGATAGGTCTCTCTGTGTGCAGGAGGGGGCTCGGCATCAAGGGGCCCAGTCGGGGATAAGCTGGAAGGGGAGCTGGTGGTGGGCAGTGCCCGGGGAGGGGCCAGGAGAGGGTAGAGCGGCACCCCATTCCTTACCTTGGCAATGGCCCTTCCTGACCATCATGTAGCCCTGGTCACACTCGCAGTGGTAGGAACCCTCCGTGTTGGTGCACCGCCCCCCGCTGCACACCTCGGGCTGCCCACACTCGTCTATGTCTGTAAACACGCAGCAAAGTCCTGAGTTGGGGCCAGCCCTGCAGGGGATCCTGGGACATCTGTTCAGAGGCCAAGGCCAAGGACACCCATGCTGAGGCCCAGGCAAGGAAGGCATCCTTGCTGCAGCCATGAATGGCAGGGTCTGAGACTGACCAACTCAGGCCCCTGCAAACTCCTGAGTTCCTTTCTCCTGGAGGGGATGGCTACTTTGGGGGCCCATGGGGACTCTCACAGCTGTCTCCTTACCCCTGTGCAAGGGCTGGTCTTGAGGTCAGGTGGCTGTGCCTATGGCACTATCTGAGGAAGCCAATGAAGTCCCCCTCTTGACCCCAGTAAATCCCCCAGAAGTCTGCTCCTAGAGTTCCTAGGGGCCTTCCTAAAGGTTAGGGATTGGAATTCCGTGGTGGTCCAGTGGTTAAGACCAGGATGGTGCTTTCACTGCCAGGGGCCCTGGTTCGATCCCTGGTCAGGGGAACTAAGATCCCACAAGCCACGTGGCATGCCCCCCCACCCCCCAAAAACATAAGTTTAGGGATTAAGCAGCCAGTGAGAGACAGCATCTTAGGCAGCTGTGGATCTGTCCATTTGGTTTCTGCCATTGTTCCAAAGCATAATGTGCCCTGTGATGGCTTGAAAGCCCAAGCCTGGTCATGCCCCTCCCCTGCTGGGTTCCCTGCTGCTCAGCCTGCCTCACAAGGCCTCACCCCAGCCTTGCTGTGTGTGCTGATCCCCACTGGTCCAGCCTCCAAGCCTTTGTTCACACAAATGCCTCTGCTTGGTTTGATGGCCAGCAGAGCCCTACTCCCATTCCAAGGATGGGTTCAGGGCTTCCCTGGTGGTGCAGTGGTTAAGAATCCGTCTGCCAATGCAGTGGACACATGTTCAATCCCTGTTCCGGGAAGATCCCACATGCCGTGGAGCAACTAAGCCCGTGTGCCACAACTACTGAGCCGGCATGCCACAACTACTAAAGCCCGCGTGCCTAGAGCCCGTGCTCAGCAACAAGAAAAGCCACTGCCATGAGAAGCCCGTGCACCGCAACAAAGACCCAACGCAGCCAAAAATAAATAGAATAAAGATAAATTTTTAAAAAAAAGGGTGGGTTCAATTTGTCAACTCTAGGTCACTCTGGCCACTCCCCATTCCCTGCCCCCCACAGTCAAATTAATGGAGGACTCACCCTTGCCCCAACCCGTAGCAATGGTTCAAACACTTCACAGAGGCTTTGTGCAGACGAAATGAGATAATCCAGGTAAAGGGCTTAGCACAGTGCCTGCCTGACACAAGGTGAGCACTGAAGAAATGTTAGCTATTATTATTTTTATTCTAGCATTAAACCTACTCTATAAAATCCAAGCTCCTCAGCCTGGCATGTGAGACCTTTTGTGACCTAGCCCCGCCTGGTTCTCTCACCTGGGTTGCTGCTTCCCACATGCCTCCTTCTTTTTCTTTTATGGTCAAAATTTTAATGTCAAAAACTTATAAATGTTTGGTATTAGTCCACATACAATTCAGTTTTTGGTGTAGAGTTCTTTGGCCTCACGAAAAAACGCTTGGTTTACTTCACTAATAGGAATATCTCTTAATGCTGAGGTGGCCTCTTCTTGGTATTTCTTCTGCTGTTGATTTCTGGCATAGTTGTCTGTGATTGCATGAATGGAGTTGAGTGGAGAGGTACTCATCATGTTTATCCCAAATAAGAGCACATATAGTAATAACATGATTACTATAGTAGTGAGGAGGTACACAGGCAATACAACTGCTCGATATTTTTGAGGCCAACAGGATAAGCCTAAGGAGTTTAGCCTAAGGAGCTTCTGCACGTGCTGTTCCCTCGCCTGGAGTGGCTTCCCACCCACCAGCTTGGCTGTATCCTTCTCATCTCTCAGTGAGGCTGCCCTCGCCCCTCCAACCCATATGGCCCTTCCCAGGGTTCCCTTAGGAATCAACCCTTATATTGAATAGTAACTGCTTTTTTTTCTCCCTGACTGCTGAGAATGTGCCTTATTATCCTAGTGTCCTTAGTACCTAGCCCAGACCCCCCCAAAGTACTTATTGCATGAATGGAATAGTAAGCATTTGTTTACAGACATGAGCAATACTTCATGACACTTTAGTGCACAGTGGAGTCACTGGCAGATGGTATAAAATGTACACTCCCAGGCCCACATCCAGAGATTCTGATGCAGCAGTACTGGGCAGGCCCAGGAACCTGCATTTTAATAACTCTCCTGGCAATTCTGAAATAACTGGTCCTCCCTTTGGGAAGCTAAAGAGAACCTGATAAAGGACCCACAAACTGGTAGGGCCAGGATGACTGCCTGATAGATAAGCCTGGGAAAACTGACTTGTTCTATGGAGAAAAATGGAAATGGAAAAGACCCGATATTAACACCCATGCAAGGATGGACTCCAGATGGATTAAAACATGTCGTGAAAGGCAAAACTGTAACTTTAATGAAAGAAGGTGTAGGAGAATATCTTTGTGAATTAACAGTGGGGAAGAACTTGTTAACTAAAGCTCCCAAAGCATAAAAAATAAGGCAAAAAGGTGAATTTCAATACATCAGAATTAATGATTTCTGTTAAAGAAAGGACATGTGGATAAGGTCAATGGACAGAGGACAAGGTGGAAGAGTTGTCATATCTAAACCCAGGCAAGTATCTGGAATCGATAAGGAACTCCTAAAGAGCCACAAGGAAAAGCAGCAAAGGCCACTGGAAAAGAGAGCAAAAGATAAGAACAAGCAGTTTCTAGATAAGGAAACCCAAAGGCTCATACACGAAAAGATGCTCATAGATACTAGTAAAGTAAACGTTATTTTAAATATTTAATAATCAAATAATTTATCTTAATCAATTATTTATATTTATTTCAATTCTAGAAATTGTAATGCCTTCTATTAATTATATAAATTAATGAAATAATTTATAAATAAGAATAAAGTAAATATTTAAAATAAGGAGATATTGGTTTACCAGAGCAGCAAAATTTAGAAAGTGGATGTTATCCTGGATGAGGCCTCATCACACCGCAGCCAGACCCCACTGGGAGAAGCTCTGACAGCTGACCTTGACCTTCCTGCCTCCTCCCCCAGCTGTCGGATTGGCAGAGACATCCGGACACCCAGGCTGGCACGAGGCAGGACCCTTTGTCTGGGCCAGTCCTGGCAACACCCTTCCCTGCAGCAGCCACTGCTTGTCCCAGGCCAGCATCTCGGGCTGGGCCTGCAGGGAGCAGTGCCTCTGGCCCACAACGCTTGCCAAAGCCGCGAAGCCCAGAGAAGCCCCTTTCTCCCGGCCTCTGCCGTTGATAACTCGACTGTTCTGAGCATTGCTGCCTGAGTCATCTCCCTGAAACCTGGCTGACCGCATCGCCGCCCTCTGCTTACAAACCTCTATTGGCTGCCACTGTCTGTGGGACAGCGACCAAGCACTTCAGCCTGGCACTCAAGACACTTCGCAAACTGGCGTCGGCTCCTGACACTTCCTCTGCATACCCCACGCTCCCATCACACTGGATTTATCATTATTCCCAGAGCACGCCAGGCTTGTTCATTGCTCTGCCCTCTGCAGAAATGGTTTCCTTTCCCCGAAATAGCCTCTGCTCCCTCCTTTCCTTCACTGTGTGTGTAAGGGAAGATGTTGGAAGCAAACCATGTTTGGGGGCCAGGGTGACTTTGATTCTGTTTCCAGCTCTGCCACGGCTCTAGGTGTGAGGTCTCTGCGTGGTTCAATTCACCTCTCTGAGCCTCAGTTTGCTAAACTGTAAAATGGGGATAAGGATTTGTGCAGCACGGGGTTGGGATGATGAGCTTCATAAATAAAGGGCTTAGGACGGTGCTGCCATATGAGAAGTGCTCATTAAATGGTAGTTGTTATTATTCTGTCCCCGCTCAAACACCCCTTTGGGAAACCTTCCCACATTCCTCCATACAGAACCAGTGCTTCCTCGTCCCACAGTGCCAACATTCACACCTCACTCATTGCAGTAACCCTAGAGCTCACACAGCGCCCAGGCCAGAACCAGCAATGTGAGCCCCAAGAACAGCAGTGTCATTCTCTAGGTGAAGGATTCCAACTCGGTTATGGATCTTACGGCACTGCTTGGAAAGTGCTGCACCCTATTCTCTGTAGTTCATAAAAAAGTATGTGGAGTGTTTCGTATGTGGTATAAATGCCGCATATTAAAGGGCCTTTCTTGGAAGCATCTTTGTCCAGCGGCCCCATGCAAAGCTTCCCAGGGAAGCTTAAAGCCTTGCAGGCATTTCCCAGCAAAGGCAAGCCTGCTCCCAAGGCTGCCTGGAGTCCCAGTTGGTGTCCTCACGGGTCACCCTCTTTATCCAATAGGAAAGAAGCTCCTTGTCACTCAGGATCTGGGGACCTGGTTTTTCGGCTTCATCTCCAGCCATGTCCCCAGACCCCTCACACTCTTGGCTCCAGTCACAGTTCCTTGGAGCGTTGGTGAATGTTGCTGCCTTTCAGATTCCTATTCCTCCATCTGTCTCAGCGACCTCAGCCTCAGCGCAGGGTCTGCTTCCTCCCAGGTCCAGGTTAGAGCCCTGGTCTTGGTTCCTGCGGCCCCCCGTACTCCCCACAGTCTGCAGCTCTGTCACTGGGTGCTGTGAATGCCTGGATCCTCTTCCACCCCAACACTACCTGTGCGGTCCTGTGCCCCTCCCAGGGGCAAAGGTGGCTCACCTTACCTTGGCATTCCTGTGTGGCCCCCGAGGTGGCCAACGTGTAGCCAGGGTAGCAGAAGCAGGAGTAGGAGCCCACGTGGTTGACACAGCGCCCCCTTCCCTTGCAGGGGTCCCTCAGACACTCATCGTCATCTGAGCGGAGGGAGGTGAGAAGGACAGTCAGGGAGGCCTTCCTTTGGGCACCTGCCAGCCACCTGCCATGCTAAGGACTGGACAGGGAATGGTGCTGTGGGGCAAGGAGGGGATGAGGGAGCAGAGGAGGCTGGGAGTTGAAAAATCTCAAAGGCTGAGGGCCATGAAGTTGGTTCATTGGGCCCTTTCAAGAACCAAGGGCCTGGGGCCGTGGCTTCGCACCTCCCCCCTGCCCCGTGTCCCCCTCCCCCAGTGGCCCGGTGATAACTTCCTTTCTCCTTCAAGGTACAGTGGATGTGTCTCCCTTGTATAAAAATATTGGGAGAGTGGATGAGGCCCACACTGGATGATTTATGTGTTATGCCTCCGAACCTCTCCCCCAGGGATGGCCGTGGCTTCAGTCTGCTATGCAGACTGAGGGGTGGGCTGATCTCAGAGCTGAAGGTTCCAAGTACCAGTCAGGGGACCCTGGGGTGACTTCGCATCCTCCTGAAGTCCTGGGGACTCATCAGATGGTGCTCCCAGAGATCGCTGTCCCCGAGGTTAAGGTTAGCTTTGTCCGTAGGGATTGCTCTCCTCAGTCCATCCACCACACAGCACTGCTCGGACTTTCGGCTGCCTGGACTCTGGACTGTCCTCCAGCCCTGCCTCCACCCGCCCCAGCCACTGAGTGAGCCCAGGCTGCCCCCGTGGATACCTGTGCAGTAGGCCTGGCTGGGGTGCAGCCGGTAGCCGGGGCTGCAGGTGCATCTGTATCCATCAGGGAGCTTCACACAGGTTCCCGGGCCACAGATGTTGGTGGCTCCAGCAGCACATCTGTCAATGCCTGTGGGTGATGGAGCAAAGCAGAGGTTATGGTGGGGTGCGGATGGGTGAAGGCAGTGGAGTGGGGTGGGGGCAGGGCACACGGGCCTCAGAGGACCACAGAAGCCTCACTCAGGCCTTAGCTGGGCCCTCCCACATCCACGTATAGCATGGCCTGTGTAAGAACCCACAGCACCTCCTCTCAGGGCCCCGAGCCCTACCAGGATGGAGCTTGCAGCACTGCATCCCTCTGACCGAGACCCAGGGGGTTCCAGTAACCTGTGTCCCACGTCCCAGCAAAGGGGCTCCCCTGCTGAGGCCTCCAGCCTGACATCACCCTGAATACGGGGACAGGTCTCATCCACAGCGAGTGCTTCCCTTCCCTGGCAACTCCTGACCAGTTTTTCTTAGGTAGACAGACAGATCTGGTGAGGGGGGTCTTGGGACAACTGCCAGGGGAAGAGGGGAGAGGTGGGCGCAGGCTAACTGAGCAGGGCCTTGAGTGCCATGTTGAGACAGGCCTGTAAGCAAGGGGGTCATGGGAGGTGGGGTGTGATCAGAACTGTCTTAGAAAGACCACGCATCTTGCATGTCATCTTGTTCAGAGAGGCAGCAAGATGGCAGATGGACTGGGGTGGGAGGGGAGGCACAGAGGGCCCCTAGAAACCTGTTGAAATGAATTAAACAAGGACTGCCTTGGGTGGTGGTAATGGGTAAAAATGGGAGATGGAAGCTGAATTCAGAAACAGTTTGGAGACTCGCCAGGCCTCAGGGCTGAGGCTGCATAGAGAGCAAGAGATTATAAGTCTTTTGAACTGTGTCCGTAATACCAGAAAAGTACCTGGCACTTAAAACATGCCGAATGAACAAATGACTGAATGAATGAGTGATGCTCTCATTCCAGGTCTCAGCCGGAAGCCCACACACCCACACTCCCAGCCCTGCCCCACAGCACTGAGGGAACCCCAGAGACCCAAGGAAATGGGTCAGGATGTGGCCTGTGGCGGTGCACAGCGGGGCTTCACAGCGTTTGCTAAATTGGACGAACTGAACGTGCACACCGGCCTGTTTGTCGGGCTACCCTGCCCCTGGCCTGGCTCCAAGTTTGTGTCAGCCTGGGGGCTCAGGAGGACCTCCAGCCAGGTTCTAAATGTCCTCCCAGAGGGGTGGGGTTGGGGGATGGCAAGGGGGAAGGGGGATCAGGCGAAAGTCTATAGATCGTGGGAGGGATTCTGTCCCCACATAGCTGAATCCCCAGCTGAGCCCCTTAACCCAGCTCATCTTGCCTGCCGAGTGGAGGGGGGCCGAGGACACTCCTTGGAGCAGTGCACTGAGCCCAGAGAAGAGGGGTCCTGGGAGAGGGCAGCAGGGACGCCCTGGTTCAGGCCTAGGAAGGCCAAGCTCCCAGCCCCACCCACACTCTCTGGACTGTTCCACCAACCTGCAGGGTCTCTCCCTCTGCTGGAGGAGATCTGGAAATACCCCTCACCCCAAGGTGACCTCAGTCTATGAGGTTACAAGCAGCAAGGCCCTGATGAGGACGCTCGTGGAAACACACGCACGAGCACACACACGTGAGCACACACGTGTGCAGGGAACAGCTGCAGCAACACCAGCCCTGCTTCTCTTGAACCAAGTCCCCAGACAACGAGCCTTTGAGGAGGGTGCATTCCAGAGCAAGGTGGATGTGCCGGGGATCTCCCCCATACCACCCCGCAACCACTGCAGCGGCCAGAGCCTGGGGAACGCAGGCTCCAGGGCAGCTAAACAACTTTGAGAAATAGAACCATTTTCCTTCCCTAAAGTCGGGCCTCCCTGTGGGCAGGAGGCTGCCCACCGCCAGGGTACTCAGCTGACCCAGGGTCAACAGCCTGGAAGAGCCAGGCTCCCGGAGGCCCCATGTGCTCGCCTTCCTTGAGAAGGCCCCGTGGATTCTCCTGGAAGGCACCCCTTCTCTTTCTCCTGCCTGGCTTGACCGGTGCTCCAGACGGGACTCCCCCAATCACTGGGGGCACCCTGTGCTCTCTGTGGAATGCGGCGGGAGTTCACTGGACACTGTGCATCCGGTGGGAGAGCCCTGGAGTTGGCTCTGGCCGCCCACACCTCATGGGGCTGCTGCAGGTACCTGACGGGGCCGGGGTCACCAGCACATCGGTGGGGGCGGTCACTTGCTCTTCTGTCCGGGCCTCCGGGATCCCCTGTCCAGGCAGTGGCAGCGTTGGTCTTCCTATGGCGTCTCCTGCGGAGGGGAGAGGGGTGGGGGGAGCGAGTGGGCCTCAGCCCCTTGAGTGCCCGCTTTCCCACCCCCTGGACAACATCCCCTGCAGAGGTGCAGTGCCCTGTCCTCCTCCCTGCCCTCCAGTCCATCGGCCTCCGAGAACCAGGGGTGGAGCCTAGGGCGGGTCATCCCCCCTGCCTCTTCGTCTCCTGAAACTTAACCTGGCCCCAAACAGAGTCAGAGAATCTGAGAGCCCTGACGGGGCTCAGAGCACATCTGGTCTCCCCGCTCCGCAGGGAAGGAGGTGGAAGAAGCTCGTGGGAATGGCCACTTGTCCAAGGCCGCTACCTTGTTGGGGATGGAGCCGAAGCCCGGGTCTCCTGACTCCTACTTCAGCACTCTCCTTCTGTCTGCAGAGTTCTTTACAGTTTACAGAGCTCTGCCTCAACCACCAGTGTCTCATCTGCCTTAAGAGGCAGGCATTAGTGTCCACATCATAGTAGAGGAAGCTGAAGCCGACTTCTGAACAGTGCCCTGTCCCCAGCCCCAGGGACCGGCAAGCTGGGCTCTGTGGAGCTCTAACCATTTCCTGAGGGAAGACAGGCTGGGGGCAGGGCTCTGGGAACCTGACCTGCCCCTGCTTCAGCCAGCCCTTCCTCTTTGGTCTTGTTTATTTGCTGAACAGCACCATGAAGGGCAGAAAGAGCGCTGTGGCTGCGGAGGTATTTGTAAGGCATCGCGGTGCCTTTCACTGACCTATAACACATTTGGCATACAGAGCTCCCAGGGGAACTGATCACACGTCTCATCGCCCACAACCTCAGCTGATTTGAGCCCGTGCACCAGCTCCCGGGTACTATCTCCCCTCCTAGATTAAGGTCTCTCCTTCCCTCCCTTTGTTTGCTGGGCACCACTAGGAGGAGGCACTCACCTGGGACCCAGGCAGATAGCTGGGTAACACTGGTTGTGACCTGCACAGAAACGGGAGGAGGTCACTGTTGGCTTCCCTGTCACCCCCATGATGTGCTTCCTTCCTCCACACTCACCCCTGCCTCCAGGCTCCCCGTCCAACTAACTCCCTCATTCAGTCTTTCATTCATTCCGGGTGTTGATGAGTTCTTACTACACCCTGGCATTCTGCCAGGCACTTTATGTCTACTGTCTTAGTGAATCTTCTCAACTATCATCTGGTAGAAGGCTGTGATGATCAAACGAGCCGATGTATGTAATGGGCCAGCTCAGTGTTACAGCAACAAGTATCGTATCAGTGCTATGATCTCCACATCTCAGACAGCAACAGAAGCTTTAGAGGTTAACCAGTCTACCGAGGGTCACAGGGCCAGTGTGGTGAAGCTGGGACCCCAGGCCACACCTGGTGTCCCTCACCATAGCCCGTGGACAGAGGTAGATGAGCTGTGGGGAGCAGGGGAAAGAAAAATGGGCAGGGGATGGCAGAGGGCCAGGAGCATGGCTGGGGCTGGGAGGACACGGAAGAACTTTGGTCTGGGAGACAATGCATGCTTCTCCAGGGAGAGAAGAAGCTCCCTGGGGAAACAATATGTGCAGAGGGTCAGGGATGCAGCTTGGAGGGGCCAAGGGATAGGGTAGGGATTGGCAGACTGATGAGGGAAGAAGCAGCTTCACCCTTCTGGAATGTTTTTCTAGGAGGACACTCAGTTCTTTACAGGGAAATCCTGGGCTCAGGAGAGGGGGTGGGCTCCCCCTTTCTCAATGAAGTGGTTTGAGGCTATTCACAGCTCTGCTTCTACTTCCCCACGAGCCACACACAGAGGAGACCTGAGACCTTAAGCAAGTCAGGCTCAGAAAGTGCTGAATCCGGAATTAATCTGGAACCAGTTCTAGACCTCATCTGCTGCGATGAAAGCCTGAGTGACAGCCAGGACTAACAGGACCCGGTCCTGCTTCCTTTCTGAAGGGGCCCCAGAGCTTCCCGAATGAGAGTGCTTGACAGCAGCTGCTGGAAAAACAGGAGCCGCTGTTATTACTCCCTTTAGGGTAAAACTGGGTCTTTGGATCAACTCTCCCACCACGGCTTCTCTGCAAGTAAAGTCCTACATACACGCCATCTTTCTCCCCTCCCTCCCTCACGGGACGCTGCCCTGCGGCCTCAGTGCTACCAGGTCCTGCTCTCTGCCACCCTTGCGCGACTTGCTGGTGGGAGGACTCACTTACCTGGCCAGCCTGAGAGTCACCTGGGAAGGAAAGGTGAGAGCGTGAGCTCAGGGAGGAGAGTCTGGCTGCCTTCTCCCTCCCACCCATGGCCAGGGCTGGTTCAGTCCGTGACCTCCTGACCTTGTCTCCCGCAGGCTCAGTGGTAGAGAGAGCCCAGACTCTTCTTACCTGCCTCTGCCCCTGCCACCCTTCTGGCACTGGCCAGCCCAGATCCCAGGTCTGGAAGGCCTACAAAGTGGTCAGTTGGTGAGAGGAAACCTCCGGGGCTCCTTTGATGCCCCCGGTGACAGGAGTCCCACCCGCTCCGGGCCAGTCCACCCCATGGGTGGACTGCCACCCCATCCTCGCTGTAACCCTCCTTGCACTGCCACCTCCTCCCTCCCGACCACATCGGGTCACTCCGCCCCTGCCCCAGGCTACAGGCCAGGGCAACAGTTCTAGGAAGGGGAGGAGTTGCTCCTGGCCTGGCCAGTGTCTGGTTACCATGATGACTGGAGCTCTGCCTGACTTCTGTGTCTGTCTGTTCCCAATTCCTGGAGCACTTTGGCCATCACTTAGTTCTCCTGGTCCTCATATGTCCTCGGCCCCCTGCCCCCTGTGCCACCAGTAACCCGGGCTTGCCTTCTGCGTGGTTTCCCAGGGCACCTGCCAGGGGTGCCTCGAGCCCAGTCTCTTTCCAGCCCCACGCCTCCTGGGCCCAAGGCGATTGAGCCGGAGCCAGTGCTCTGACTCTAAGGCCATGGCAGGGGATCTAAAGCCCCCAGATTCCCCAGGATCCACCTGCCGACTCTTCAGGCTTGGCAGCAAGCACCAGCCCCAGAAGCTGCGTGGCCGGGGGCAAGGGATGGAAAGGCCTGGTCAGCTGGAGTGGAGGATGCGGCGGACCTCTCCCACCCCCACCAGCAGCTCCCTGGGACATGGGTACCTCTTGACCCTATATAGGAGAAAGAGGAGGTGAGGCCATGTCATCAGGCCAGGCCATGAGAGCACGTTCCCAGGGCTGTGCTGCTGCTCTGAACTCCTTTTTCTAATGCCCCAGAGATGGAATGCCATGGGTCCAGTGGCTCTTTGAGGTGCTGTAACCCGAGGGGAGGGGGAATCTCTCAGGCATCTTCCCCAACCCAGATACCTTTGTCGGGGATGGTCCCGGCCTCCAGCCAGGTGCCAGTGGCCTCCCGGAGTGGCTGCCTCTCTGCTGGTCTGGGCAGGGTCCCATTGCTCTTCTGCCCCTGTTGCCTCGAGGGCCTGGTCAGTTCCTCCTCCTCGGCTTTCCTCATGGACAGACGGATGTCTGAGCTTGAGTAGGTGTAGCCGTGGCCGGCAGGGCAGATCTCCTTGAAGGCCTCTGCAAGTTCAACAGTCAGAGGACAAGCTGAGGGATGCTGCTCCCGCAGGAACCCAGCGCCCTCCTTTTCCTGCCTTTTGAGGGACAGGGCAATTGTAGCAGCAAGGAGGGAGGGGCCCCAGGTTGGGTTAAGGAGTTGAACAGGAAGGAAAATTAAGAGTCTTCTGGCCTGACGTTAGGTCAGGTAGGGGAAACTGGCCACTGGCTTGGAGGAAGCCCTTCGGTGGCTGGGGCTGAGATGGGGACAGAGGGGGTTACCTGTGCCAGGCAGGGGGCACTTCTCACACTTGCTGCCCCAGGCTTTGCCCACTCGGCTGCAGCAGCATATCTGCTTGGTGATCTGCTGGGCCAAAGGCAGGGTGCAGGTGCCGGGCCCCAGCGACCGGTAGCACAGCCCCTGCTGCATGGAGATGGCCTTGTCCGCTGCAACAGACACGGCAGGTGGGGATGGGCAGGTGGCCAGCGGGAGGGGAAAGGCAGTGGGTGGAGGAGTGACCGGCCACGTGTGTTCAGATTGGCTTGGCCTGCATCTCAATGTAGAAGTTGGGGCCCTGAAAATGCTCACAGAACATTTGGAAGAGTAGCTGCAGGAATGCTTTTAGCACCTCCTCATGTTATCTGTTTGAGGCGACCCTTGACTCTCACCCTCATGTGGGGAAGCTAAGAGCAGGAAATGTGGATGTCTCTGCTTGTCCCCAGATTCTGAGTCTACACGTGTTTACAAAAGCCCATCCTGGGGAGCACGAGGGAGGAGCAGTGTGCCCTGAGGGCCACAGTCTCCCTGGGGAGATGAGACGAGGTGAGAACCACAGGCCTGATGGGGAGCTTTGGGGACCAGGCCCTGTCTTGGTCGTCTTTGCAGCCCAGACACCCTGGGCAATGTCTGGTGCATGTAGATACTCAGTAAATGCTCGCTAGATGGCTGGCTGGCTGGATCCATGAATCAAAACCCCACGGACTGCAGTGAGTGTGAGCCACGCTGGGTTTAGAAAATAACAACACCAAGGGCCAACTCTGCCTCCCTGCATGAAGGGTCTCTTTCCAGAACTAATAAATAAGTCACCATGAACTCTTCCTGAGAGTGGCCAGCTGGGTTCTCCCCATTCTGGGTTCCCTCGTTCTCTGCTGTCCCTTTAAGGCTCTTACTACCTAAGGCTCTTACTACCTCCTTGCCCTGGGGATGCTGGGTCCAGTCTTTCCCTCACATGGGTGCTCCCTCTGGGTGGTGCTGGAGTCTGTTCATCTTGTGGCCTCCCCAGACCCAGTACCTGGCGATTCACAAACTGAGGGCTTGGCCGGCCACAGGGAACTCTGCTGAGCCTTGGGTGGCCCACCTGACCTGGGTGGCTACTTTGCAGAGGCCAGTCGGGACTGGTTTTATTCAGTAGTGGTCAGGCCTCCCTGGTCTGGCTGTGCCGTCAGCTTTGCCATGGGGAGTGGCGGGTGGAGGGGGGCACTGCCAGCCTGGGCCTCTCCCAGCTGGAAACCACAGAGGCCACTGGAAACAGCGGCCTGGGCGTTCACACATGCACACACACGGACACGATGCTGATACGACTAGTGACACGTACGCGCTCACGGACACACGGGGACCGCAGGATTATGGAAAGGCCCCGGGGCCGGCAGCAGTGCTGCTCCTGCTATGGGCAGGCTCCTTAAGAAACGTCTGCAGTGAAAGGACCAGGCTTCTAAGCTCAGGCACTGGAAGAGGCAGCCACAGCTCAGCCAGACATCACAGCAGGGGCGACACACATCCTCCCCAAGCAGATGAGGCAACAGATGGGACAGTAACGATGAGAGAAAAAACAGAGGAGGTAGAAAATCCCAAACTGCAAAGCCCTCAAAGAAATACATAGAGAAAACAGAGAAGCAGTGACTGTCTCCGTCCCAGCAGGATGAGGGATCAGGTTTGGCACTCGGGGCCCAGTTCCAGGTGGAGGAGCAGCCCCTGGACCCTGCGATACGGTCTAGGGGCACTTCTGCTCTCAGTCTGGCCCGTGGACCTTGAGGGTCCCATCTCGCCTCTCAGCGTCCCCACCCTGGGTCCCACCTGCACTCACACACACAACGACTCCTGGATGGATCCAGCAGGAGGCCGGGTCTGCAGGTGCACAGGTAGCTGCCCCTGGTGTTCACGCAATCCGAGTCCTCGCACAGGCCCAGGGTCAGGCACTCGTTGATGTCTGCAGGGTTGGCGGAGATGACCAAGCGCCCCCCGACCCAGGCCTGATGGAGGGGAGGGGTCGGGGCAGAGTTCTCCTACGATTCTCCACATAGAAGGACAGCAATAAGAGAGCTGCCGTTTACTAAGTGTGATCCCTCTCTCTGGGCCTCAGTTTCTCATTTGTAAAGTGGGGATAATAATAGTAATGACGATGTAGTCCTGTTAGGGGGATAAAATGAGATAAAAATTGTGAATCGCTGGGTCCAGGAACTGGTAATAATGGTCATAATATTAAGAGCTAATGTTTATTGAGTGCCTCGTGCCAGGTAGTATGCCAGGTGGATTGCATAAGATACCTTATTTAATTCTCACAGTTTGATCAAGTAGGTCCACACGGCCTCATTTCATAAGTGAGGAAACTGAGGCTCCAGGAGTAACTTGCCCAAAGTCACTCAACTAGTAAGCGGCATCCTGGGACGTAACAGGGGGAGTAGATGAGGGCAGAGTTTGAGTTGGAGGGTGGAGAACAGGCTGCCCAGTCCCTCCTATTCAGTCTTCCTTGAGAGATCCTGAAGCATCTCTGCGGGACCCAAGATCCAGGGACCATGTCCACAGTGAGAAGCTGCAGGACGGAGGGGCCCCGGCAAGGACGAGGAGGCGGGAGGATGGAGGCGGGTGCTGGGAGGTGGAGCAGAGGTTTAGGAGGACAGGGGAAATCACAGGGCTCACACTCTGAGCTCCAAGAAGTCAGGGGCCCCCTTAGCGATGGCACCTTTGCTGATGATGGTGAGCATGGAAGGTCTGTGATGGCCGCCCACCTCCAGTGCCAGGAGATAACACATGGCAGCCCAGTGTCATCAGGGCCGCCTGCTCATTCACAGGCTTTGGGGAAATTGGCACTGAGTACAGGAATAAAGGGGCTGAAGGGTGGGCACCAAGGGGACCTACTGCTTAGCAGGACGTTCTATTGGGAGGGAGAGCTGGGAAGGGGAACTGATCCGTTTGCCTCCAGTCTATGGCCAGAGTGATGTCTAAACACAAATCTGACTTGCCTCCTGTCTGCTTGAGAAGCTTCTGGGCTCCCCCTCACCTCCTACAGGGAGCTTCTAAACCCTCACCTGGTATCCAGTGCCCTCCACCATTTTCCAAAAGCCTGTGGGTGGGCCGGTGGCTCTGATGAGACCCTGGGATGCGCTTCTTATCTCCTGTGGGTGCACTGGCTGTACTCCAGCCAGCCCAAACTGCTCCTTTGCTCATACTCATCCCTCGGCCTGGAATGCCCGCATCCCCTTCTAGCTGGCCAACTCCATTCATTTTTTAAGTCTAGGTCAGGTATCACCTGAAACCTTCCCTGATCCTCCAGTCTGGGAAGGGGCCCCACCATAGGATCCCATAGCACCCAGTGCCTCTTTCTCTCGAGAGCACTTCTCTCATAGTGTGTAATTGTTAAGGCATCTGTCTTCACCTGGGGCAGCGGCTGCATCTCATCCATCACTGTGAACTAACACCTAGCACAGTGTATGCAGATCATAGCAATACCCCAAAATTAGCCTGTGGAAGTAGGAGAAAAGGATGGAGAGAGGAGGGATGGTGCCTGCAGGTGCAGAGATGAGCGGGTCCCATCCCAGACAGGGAGACCACAGCCACAGACATGGGAAGGGGGAGGTTTCAGGGGCAGGGCCTCCTGGGGAGGGCACCTTGGCATACTGAATCCTGTGGGCTTGGTGGAGGAAGGACAGAGAGCACATTCGAGATCCTGGGAATAACTTTAACACTGCAGACTAGGAAACCTGCCAGGCGGAGAGGACGCTGTGGACAGTTTAGATATGAGCAGCCCCATTGCACTCTCTAAGGGCAAAAATACCAACTTCTCCCCACACCCACTGTCCGCGAGGTCCTTGCCTCTTTGCCCTGGAGGGAGGCTAAGCCTGGGCTCGGCTGGGTCAGAGGTCTTCCCTTTTGCCGGGTCCAAGCACCTGTTCTTATCCATGGGCCAGAAATCCCCACAGGCAGATAGCTCAGCCGCCCCAGACTCCTCTCTCCTGAAGCCTCCACGGGGAGGGGACCTGGGAGACCATCTGGGTCAATCCCGTCTCTAACCCAGCTTCAAGCAAAGTGAACTGCACAGACAGTGATTTGTCCAGCTCCCAAAGCTCTCCAAAGGGGCAGCTGCCTCAACCCCAGGAGCCTCCCACTGGCTGGAAGGCCCAGCTCATATCTCACCTATTGCCAGGTCCACAGCCAACAAGGGCTCCCTGCTCAGAGCCATGGCTGAGCTCCCCCCTGCCCGCTCTTCTGTCCTGAGGTGTCCCTGGGCCTTGCCCCTCTGGGGGCCTCTAATGCAGAGCACCTGGGCCTCAGCTGGCCTTACAGAGCCTACCAGCCAGGCCAGCAAGGCCAAGGACTGTGCTTTATGGTCCCCCTCCCCCACTCCCCCTCCATCCCCTTCACCTGTGCCCTCCCTGCTCCCGGCTGCGGGAAGGAGGCCTGAGCAGCTGAGGTGCTTTGCTGGGAAGAGTCCATAGTGGTCCCCACCAACTCAGGCTGACTTGATCTCCCACCCTGGAGTTAAAAGTCTTCCCATTCCAGGGCGAGCAGCCCAGGAGGTGAGTGGATGTGCGGGGACCGTGGAGCACCTTGAGATACAGCACAACACAGCCCTACAGAGTCACACACCCAGATCTGGGTGGGGGTGGGTAGAGATGGGGAGGAGGGGAGGGCTTGGCTCCCAGGCGCTTTCTCAGCTGCACCATCGCTATCCTCTGGCTTCCTTGGGCCCCTGGAAGCAGCAGCCCCCATAGCTCCCCCAAGCCGGGGCTTAGAGCTGCCCAGTGGGGACCACTCAGACAGTGGCAGCTGCTCCTTCTATCTGGGGATGTGGGTGTCTTCCCGCATCATCAAGCCTCTGTTATTTCTGCTCCCCAAGCCCAGCCCTGTCCCTGGTTATTCTTACCTTGGCAGTGAGTGAGGTTCAGTCTCTTGTACCCCTGGGGACACTCCAACTGGCCATTTTCAATCACTGGGGAGGCTAAGGATTGAAGATACAGACAGGTTTCACTGGAGGGCCCTTGGGCTCCTCTGTCACCCATGCTGGGAAGTGGGGTGCCGTCTGGATGTCCAGCCCACTCTGCAGCTGTGAGGCCCCATCCCCCCAAGCCATTGCCCTGGGTAGCTGCACCTCCTTAGCTGAAATCCCTTCCCTGGCTCTCACCAGGCTACTCTCAGCCCACCTTGCTATTACTAAAAATGATACCTAGTGACTATATATCTTGTATATATAGTTATAATAATATAGTCATATAGTTATTAGATACAGTATATATTATATGATATCAATGTTATACAATATAACATGTGATTGAACAAACTTGTGTGGTTTTTTTTTTTTACTTTTTGTTTTTGAAGTAATTATGGATTTGCAGGAAGTTGCAAAAAATAGTACGGTGAGGTCCTGTGCATCCATCACCCACTTTTTCCCAATGGCTGCATCTTACACAACTCTAGTTGTTTTGTTAGTTTTTAAACATCTGAATATGACAATTCACAGTCTGGTTCTAAGTTCAGTTTATTCTGATACTTGGTTTGAATGCCACCCTAGCTGACAAAGCCCCCCGATCCTGGAAGAAGCTCACCATCGATTGCACTTATAAATGCATGATATCCATTCACTCACATTCACCAACCATGGGATGTTGTTGTTGAAATTTGGTTAGTAATTTTCATGTTCCCTGAGGTCAGTTAGTTGTTTTTACAAAGTCAAAAAGAGTTAGAATATCCCAGTTCTTGAGTTTTTCAAGTATGCAAGTGGAGAGGATTTATAGCAGCAAATTACAGGATGATGGCATTTTTTCCAAACATTCATTTTCAAAAGGCTCTGTCCCACCACAACTTCCTTGAAAAGCAGCTCCGCTTAAAGTTTATAACAAAACTGGGCAGTGGTCTGAGTCCAGACGGGCCAATAAGGCAATAACTGTCAGTATTTTGGTGCTGATACATGTCCTATCTTGATTTCACACCATTCCTCTTACTTTAAAGAGAGAGAGAGAGAGAGAGAGAGAAAGTGTGCTTAAAAACAAAGAAACAAAAACAACTGACATTCAGTAAAAACAGGGAAAACATCTCCACTACCTTGGAGGGTCAGACTCGTACGTCAACCTCCGAAGAAGTGCTTTGAAGGTGTTTTTTTTTTTGAAGATGTTTTTTCTTGAAAAGGGCTAGCAGGTAGTATACTATTGACAGCTGCCCGTGATCACAGAAAAAGGCAGGAGATGTGGAACACCCATCTTTTTGTTTAAAAAAAATGAAGAAGGACTGCTTTTTCAGTTTGATGATTCCTTTGCCAAGACATAGCCAGTAATTCTCAAGGGGCACAGGCATTTCCACAGACACTCTTCCAGGATGAAGCTCCGTAAAGATACCTTTAGACCTTAAGGATCTTGTTTTATGAAGTTAACTGCATGATGACTTCCTGTGACAGCTTGTCTTCTCCCAGCTTTGACTTCTTTGTGGCAATACCTTGCCTATGAAGGGTACGGGGAGGGGACTTTCCAGTTAGCATTCCACAGCTCCATTGCCTTGCCGGTCCTAACGTCAGCCGCTGTACTTATAGAGTTATTGGGTAATAAACCTTATTTTTATTCAAGAAGTCATTTACTGTGGAGAATGTAGGTCTTCTATCTTCTAAACAGGCTCAACCTTTAGTGGCTTATGCAATAGACAGTTCTTCATATATTTTATTGCTGAAATAGATTCTTGCAAATACCAAGAGACATGTTAATAATACCTATACCTTCATCCAGTTATACAGCAAAATGTGAGTGTCTCAGTGTTTTAAAATGTTTTCTTTTTTTTTTTTTTGAACATTTATTTGTTTATTTATTTGGCTGCATCGGGTCTTAGTTGGGGCACGTGGGATCTTTGTTGCCACGTGCGAGATATTCATTGTGGCATGCAGGATCTTTAGTTGTGGCATTCATGCGGGACCCAGTTCCCTGACCAGGGATCGAACCTGGGCCCCTTGCATTGGAAGCGGAGTCTTAGCCACCGGACTGCCAGGGAAGTTTCTTAAATGTTTTTCTAATCAAGATAGCTTTTACTCTGTCATTAGCTGTTATCTCTGGGCACATTATACACTGAAGGCAAAGTCTGGTATTAACGATAGTAGATATAAGCTGTATTTTTTTTTTTAAGCTGTATTTTATATAGACTTCCTGATCATTTGACTCCTGGGGTCCATTTTGGGTCCCATCTGAGAGGTCATCATTATTTTTACTTTGGAATATGGCCGATTAAGTGTCAGAGGAGAAGTGTCAGCATTGCATTTTTAAAGGATCACTTAGGATTATTCATATTATTTTATTTTATTTATTTATTTTTTAAAAGAGGATTTTAAAATAATTAATTAATTTTTGGCTGCATTGGTTCTTCGTTGCTGCGTGCGGGCCTTCTTTAGTTATGGCGAGCGGGGGTGACTCTTTGTTGCGGTGTGCGGGCTTCTCACTGCGGCAGCTTCTCTTGTTGTGGAGCACAGGTTCCAGGCGCGCAGCCTCAGTAGTTGTGGCTTGCCGGCTCTAGAGCGCAGGCTCAGGAGTTGTGGCACACGGGCTTAGTTGCTCCGTGGCACGTGGGATCTTCCTGAACCAGGGCTCGAACTTATGTCCCCTGCGTTGGCAGGCGGATTCTTAACCACTGAGCCACCAGGGAAGCCCCTCATATTATTTTAAATCCTGTTTCTCTGCAAGAATTTTTTAGAGTCATTTCTCCACTTGGTGAGGGCTGCTTTATTTAAAACTAGACAACCTAACTGAAAAACCCCACAAACAGAACATTGTCGTGCATTACATGTTGTGATACCAAAGACAAACATGAGGAGGTGCCGTGTTTCCCTGGAAGCCCCACACTTCCCTGAGGACACTTGCAACAGTCTGACATAGAGATCAAGTGAGGACATAAATTAGTAAAGCTTAATTTTTTTTTTAAGATTAAAGAACTGTAAATTGAAGTTGTAATTTTATCTTTTTTGCCACAGATGGTATTCCCCAGGGTTTGCATGTTCTTCCACATGGGAACTAGGCTTCAGCCTAAAAGGCCGCTGTGTGGCGATAAGTGAGTATTCTGAAAATGCTGACATTGAGAAAAAGGATGGGGTGAGGCCGGGAAATGTGAGCGCCTGGCCCGGGGCCTGGTGGCATGAACTGAAGACGGGGAGGAAGAAAGAAAGAGGGGAAGTTGTTTGGAGAAACTCAGAAAGCAAGCAGATTAGATGCAGGCGCAGAAGGTGGGAAGGAATATCTTGAGGCTGATGCCAGGGGCCTGGAGAACTGAGACAAGGGGACATCTGGACAGGGCTTCGGAGGCCTGAGGCCTTTGGTGCGTATTGTCCTGTCTGTTTCTCCTGTCTGTTTCCTGTTTGTTTCACAGGTTAGGAAGGAAGGTGAAGCTCAGAGGGGGCCTAGTCGGGGTTGCAACCAAGCTTCTGGCTGCCAAGGGCACATCCCTCCTACAGCCAGAGAGGAAGGGAGGGGGGAGCCAGGAGGCCAGGGCAGCAAGGTGGTACCAGGAGGGAGGAGGTAGGCAGAAGGACCTTGCTTCTTTACGGAGCAGGAGAGGGGTGGCAGAGAGCTGGGATCACAGTAAGGCTGGGCACCAGCTGTGGCACCTGCAGGGTACCCCGAGAAGCTGAGCAATGCGTGAACTAAGAGGAGTGGGGCTCATCCGTTAGTCTGGAAACATGCGCTTTTTGTAGAAAGTGATTTCCTCCTGAGAGGACTCTGCCTTCTCACTGGCCTGAAGAGAAACTGTCGGCTGGACAGCCCTTGGTGAGGGCAGACTTCTAGAGAGAAAGAAGTGTCAAAACCAGCGTTCCTCGTTAGACACCCATTTTTGCCAGCACCCTGCACCCCACCCACCCCGAACCAGGGCCCTCAGCCCCCTTCCTCAAACCTCACAGAGGCCTCCTATAGGGTGCTGGATCCCAGCTTCTGTAAGACCAAGTGCAGCAGCCAATCCAGAAAAATCTGCTTATATATCTTTGGGGGAAAGAAAGTCGAAGTTGAGATGAGCACATGGAAGGGAGAAACCTTGGCTTGGGGTGAGAATTCAGCACTCACCCACGGCTCTGAGTGAGATTTCGGCAGTGATGGGGGAGGGCGGGTATCACCAGGCGCACCTCCCAAGTGCTCCCAGCACACGTAGGCCTTCCCTTGCTGTAATGCTTAATGGACTGTGCTGTGGCTGCCTGTTTGCTTATCCATCTCCCCTGCTAATGCATAAGTTCTGTGAGGACAGGGACCTTGCCTTCTTTGTCATTGCTATGTCTCTGGAGTCAAGCACAGCACACGGAACAGTATAGGCAATCAAAATGGAATGAGTAATAATAGCAGACACTAAAATAGCTCATACTATGGGCTAGGTTCTATTATAAAGGCTTTACAGGTAATAACTTATCTAATCCTCATAACAGGCCTTGGAGATACTAATATTATCCCCATTTTACAGATGAGCAAACTGAGGTACAGAGAGGTTAGGAAACATGCCCAAGGTCACCCAGCTGATGGATTGAGCTGGGATTATGCATCTGCTTCCAGAGGATAAATTCTGAACTATTCCCCTCTACTGCCTACAAATAAATAAATGAACGAACGAATTCATGACGAGCCTTAGGAGTTGTCTAGGCCAAGAATCTTAGGGTCCAGAGGCCACAGGGAGATGCCTGCCCAGCAGGAAGCATATGACCCTTCCTGGGAAGCCCTCCTCTCCCTTTTTTAAAACAAGGGATCAGGAGAGTGAGTGGGGAAAGAAAGGCAGGGACACCCAGAAGGAGGTCAGAAGAAGTAATCAGATGTTGGGCAGATGCTCCGTAATGTGTACGACCAAAGCGGCATGTAGAATCGGTAAAGGAAATAGTGAAGAACATGTACTCCTCCCATGGCCCCTCAGCCAGATCAAGGATAAGTCAAGGGTCAGAGAGCAGAGGACTTGTGGATCTGGAAAAAGAGAGTGGCTGATCTGGGATTCCTGTGGGTGCTT